CATATCCCATCGTTCTCCAGGAACTTAGTTGGTGTCGGCTGTCTTCAAGACCTCGGTGTCACCACTACATTCCTTGGTCACAAACAGTACGCTGTCAATATCGAGGCCGCCTGAGGTTCTCCCCTTGCGACGTTCCCCCGGGACCCAGTGTCTGGCCTAATTATGCTGGACACTACTTCCCCCCTAGGTGGACCGTCCTCCCCGGGTCCTGCGTCTACCTAGGTCGCTGCGGCGTGCTCGCGTCGGTCGCTCACTCACCCGTCGCTTCTGTGGCACCACCGCCTAGGTCACCCCGCACTCTCGCGTCTGCGTCACATGTCTCAGCACGGTCTAGTCGTAGGCCTCTCTACGTCGCTTCTTGCCCTCCCTCCCTCGCCTGCGCCGCCGTGCACACCCTGCGTCGAGGGCCGGCTGCGCCGTGCTCCTCACTCCTCCTCGCTTCGCCCTGCCACCGCACCCCTCCAAACCCTGCACCTGGACGTCTGGCACCCAGCCCCCGCCCCTGGACCGCGTCACGAGCACTACTTTCTCGTGCTCGTCGACAACTTCATGTGCTACACCACGGTGTTTTCCCTGGAGCGGAAGGCTGACGTGCCTGACATTCTTATCCCGTGGGTCGTAGCTGCGCGCCTCCACCGCGGTCTCCCTATGGTGTACCTCCTCTCCGACCGTGGCCGTGAGTTTGCCTCTGGTCGGCTTGGACAGTTCTGTCGTACGAAGGGCATCACCCAGTCGTACACCCTACCTGACTCCCCGCAGTAGAATGGGGTCGCTGAGCGACGCATCGGTTTGGTCATGGAGGTGGCTCGTACCTCCATGATTCATGCCGGTGCACCCCATTTTCTGTGGCCGTTCGCCGTTCGCTACGCCGCTCACCAGCTTAACCTCTTGCCGCACTCTCAGCGGCCGCAGGTTTTGCCGACCCTTCATTGGACCAGGTTCCCTCGTGACGCGTTCGCGTTCACGTTCGTGCCTCTGGCACGGACAAGCTCACTTTCCGCACTGTCCTCTGTGTCTTCCTCGGTTTCCCCCTTGACTCGTGTGACTGGCACTTTTACCACCCGCTGTCTCACTGCTTCTTTCACTCCCGTAACGCTACTTTCGACAAGTCTATCTCATTTTACCACTGCTTTCCCCACTGAGGTCTCCCCGTTTCCCCTCCCCTGTTTCTGGTTCCCACTCCCCCGTTATCCGTGCTCGCCTCCCTCCCCGTCCTGCTCCGTTTGGTGTGTCTCACGTCACTCGCCTCCCGTCAGTTGTCCCGGTCGAGGAGTAGGCTGACTCTGGTGGCCCCGCGGTGCCGTTCTCACTGCCTTCCTCTCCCCCGGTGTCTCCTCCTCCACTGTCGCAGTCGACGCTGCAGCAGCCGCCGCCGCCGTCGCAGCAGCAGCCGTTCGTGGACTCTGGGGGTGTTGGCGTTGAGGAGGGTGCTAGTCCTGGGGTTCCTGTCATGGCTTGTCCCGGCGGGCCTGGGGGTGGCACCGGTGCTGGAGAGAGTTCTCGCTCTGGGGCTGCTCGTTCGGGGGGTGCTGAAGTGGAGTGTTCCGGAGGAAGCCGTAGTGCAGCTGGCGGTCTAGGTGTCGGCGTTGAGCAGCAGCAGCAGAAGCCACCGCCGGTGTCGGCCCTTCCCGTGCTTGGCCTTCCCTCCCCGGCCCGCTCACCTGCGCCTCCCCCGCCGCCTCCTCCTCTTCCTGTCTAAGGCCTTGTGTTCCCTCCGTCGGACTCGTCTCTGGCTCGTCTTCCCCCTCGTTCCCCTCTTGTGTCTCCTCCTATGTCTCCTGACTTGACGCCTCCATCTCACGTCTGGTCTCGCCGTCCCTCTCATGCTCGTCCTATCTCTCCTGTTTATCGTTCTCACCCTATGTTGCTTCGTTCCCACGTGTCTCGTCCTCCCCTCCTACCTTCGCCTCCTCCATCGTCGCTCGCTGTGGCGCCTCCCCCTCTATCTGACTACCTTCGTGCCGCTCGTCTTCTTTTTCCTCGGGTCCTTGCCTCCCTCGTTACCGACCCATCTGTCCCTTTCTCGAGTCTTGACGCCCTTATCGCTGCTGTCGCTGACTTTGCCTCTACCCACCGCCTTGATAACGCCACCGCTCTGGTCTCTGACACTTTCTGTACATTAGGATGTAATAATATGGATAATGCTGCATGTGGTTTTCGTGCATGTACAGTATGATATTTTATCATGTGTTAGTCGAAACTGCCGCTGCACTGTGGGCTGAGTCCCGGGTTCTAATCCTTCGGTGGTAATCCTTCGGGCAAGTCGTCTGGGAATATCTGTGGGAATCTGCGAATCAGCCGTGCTAAATTGGACGGCACCGCTGCTGCCAGCTTCTCTAAATTGGACGGCCGCGATGCCACGTCGACTGCGCGAACGACTACCACGAAGACCTCCGCTCCCCGTGCGACCGCTCGTTTGATTGCCATGGAGTTCACCTGTATCACTCCCCCTATGATCCCCTTCGTCCATTCCGGTGACATCACACTACGGCCGTTGATCTTGCCGATCATCCAGTCAATCTTTGGGTTGAATCGCCGCAGCCAACCCCGTCCCAGCAACATATCGAAGTCGTCGAGTGTAGTTGCCAGCATCCCCATCGAAAGTTGAAGTCAGTTCCACAGCAAACCCTAATCCTGTCAACCCTGTCTTCTATTGCTAGTGGGGTCCCATCGACTAGTCGGGCGTCAATCTCTGGTAGACATCTATTTAAAGGTAACTTCATTGTTTTGGCCGTGGCGAGGTTGATCAGGCTGTGACTGGCTCCCCTGTCTACGAAGATTTTTGTTTTTTTTTTCTCCCTGAACCTCACCCTCTTAATATATGGGGTAATCCACCGCTGCACCCTCCTTATTCAACCGAGTTTGGTCAATTGCATGGATCTGTACCAGTACTCGATGAGGGTTATCGATCACGGGCAAGCAAGTTCCATCAGTAGCAGGCACGTTAACTATTGATCGTAAGCATTTCCATGGTCGCTGGAACTGCCCTGCCCCTGATTCAGTTTTTTCCGCTCCTATGGGCATTCTAACGTGCGGTGTCCCGGCCTATTACACCCGAATTAGCGACCCTTGAAGGATGAAACTACTGAGTTCGATGTTGTAACAGCGTGTACAGTGGCACGCTCGATTGGTCCCCGAGTGCGACTTCCGTCATAGGAACCCGCCCTTGGCTTGAAAAACAAATCCAACCGCTCCGTAACCCTTTGCGCCTCCATCAAATCCGTGATTTCCCTGATTTGTATTTCCCTGCGCAGATCTGGTCGAAGTCCCCCGATGTATCTATTGATTTTTTCGTCAAGGTGAATGTAGCCGACCTGGTCGCATAAATTCTTGAAGCTACTGGTGTAGTCCTGGACCGATCCGAGTTGGCGCTACGTGTGAAGGCGGTCGCGCACTTGGCTGCTTGCATTGACATGTTCGAAGCGGCGACGAATTCCCGCTCATCACGATTGCCACATGCTGTACTCGTCCACCTCGCAATAGCTTCCTGCCCAGTGATTGGTTGTGCGAAACCGCCCGATCACGCGCGGTGTCGTATCCAGCTCCTACGACAGAATTATCTGCTGCCACCAATCCATCGCCGGTCCACGTAGGAGCTACACGGCGTATCGATTTTTTTGTGCGCCATCGTTGACGAGGTTGCTGTCATAGAACACATTCAGGTGGAAAAACCACCCGCTGCCTCACAAGCTGCCCCGCTGGCTCGGGTCGAACGTGGGCGGCCTCTGTGTCTTGAGGATACTTGGCGCCATGTTGATGCTTGCAGCGTGCAGGCCAGTTGGAGAGGTAATTGGGGGCGGCAGATTTGCGTTCGTCCTTTCACCAATTTCCCCTCGTCCAATAGCCGATGGCGGGTTGTTCGTCGAGCCCTTAGGCGACGCCACATGTGGTCGCTGATTGTCACCAGGTATTTCGGAACGCTGTTGGTTACTTGCTCCAGTTGTCCTTGATTCGTCGTTGGTGCGATCGTATCGTGTCATGTTTGAGGCAGTCGGCTCCGAAGTACAGATATCTCAGATTCAGCTTGGGCCGCCTTAGCCCGCAGATGCGCCAACTCCTGCACATACAATTCAGGAGTAAGACGGGCGTCATCGAGTACTGCCGCCCTTTCTCAACGAGTCATGGTGTTGGAAATTGACGAATCCACCATCGTGGGAAAGTTTTGGGCGGCGTTAGGCACGCTGGCATGGCTGTAGGCAATTATTGATAATATTACCAGGACAGCGGATATGCAGTAAGCACAGGGCGTCAGCCTCCCTAAGTGTCGGTATTGCTACGGAACTAGAGCACAAAGCTAAAGGATCGCTGGCTCTGATGGCCAGGTGTCATGAAGCGCAAAGAGCGTGTGTCAAGGATTGATTAGTGAGGATGGGGACTTCAAGTTTCAAGTTTCAAGTTTCAAGTCAGGGATGGGGACTTCAAGTTTCTGTTACAAGCACATACCTGTCGAGGCGCGCATGCATTCGAGGTTGAGTGGCATGACGGCCAGTCGTTCGTCGACCCACCGCATCTGAAGGTACAAGACCCTCCTCAATTGTCCTAAACCGCACTGTAACTCTCTGTGATGTCCTTCGCCTTCACCTGATGCACGCCCTAACCAAAACACAAGCCAGGGTGTGCTGGGGGTGGGTGCTGCCGGTTTGTGGTGATCCGCCGCGTGATGAATTCACAACTCCTGCAAACCCACCACTTACATAACAGCCCCGCTTGGTCGGGTCGCGGAGAAATTGCTGCCGACGCGAGCAAATTCTCAGTGTGATTGTAGCCCTGCAGCAGCACCAACAGCAAATTTCCATTCCATTGACGTTGTCGCCTCGCCTCGCCAGCCCACAACGCCCAGATTCAAGGTCTCTTCGCGAGCAGAGCGCATCACAGCAGCACACCAGCAGCAGCAAGCAGCCCCTTCCACTTGTTTCTGCTTGGCGCTGCTGGCTGACTGGCCAGCACCACTACTGGTAGGTAGCACCGTGACTGGTGGTGGGGTGGCACAGCACGCACGCACCGATGCCGCGTCGTGTAACAAACCAACTCTGCCATTGTCAAGCTTTGCGTTGCCATCCTTTCCCGCATCACAAAAACTCGCGAGGAGCTCTCGAAGGGTGTTTGTCATCACAATTTGAGCGACGCTCACGACGAGTCGGACTCAGCTGCTCTAGCGGTGCTAGGGTCGCCGGTTGTCAGCTCGTATCGACGCCCATTTCCCCCAAAGAAAGCAATATTATTATTAGAGTTACAAGGAGTGCCACTTGCCGTGCCGTTCGGGAATTGTCACGATGATCGGCCCGTCGCCCGCGCGCAGCCTGTCAAAAGGCGGGGAATTCCCGTTGCCGCAAGCGCCTTTCGTGTCGATTAAAAATTGCCCGTCCGACGGCGAGTCGCCACTGCCGCCGCAAACGCCCTCGTCCACTCCAGTGATTCGAGACCCGCCGCAGGTTGCGCTGAAGGTAGAAACCAGTGTTGGACGGGATTGTTATGATAAGACGTATTACGGGTACTATCCAGACAGTGTTCAGCTCCTTAGTGTCCATACCGCAACTCAAATCTCGAGATACGATAATTTTCTTGGCGCGCTGTGGGCTCCTGCCGCTCGGATTATTTCTCGTTGTGGCTCTTCACTATTTCAAGGCCTCTGCCACGTGGCACTCGCCCATTGAGTGGTTTGATGTAAATAGCCGGAGTGTGGATTCCCGCGTTTTCGTTCCTGGTCCTACGAGCGTTTACGAGCGCGGTTTTGCGGTCCTGAGCTCGTTTCAGCGAGAAAATCGACTGCCGTTCGCGAAAGTTGCGACGTTCAACTTCGAGATGAATGTTACAGGTTACAGCTTCGCCGGTAACAGCCTTATCGACTTACCCGTTCCGCACGTTCCAGAGACGCTGAATTGGAGCCACGCATACCCCGAATGGGTGAACGAATCGCGCTCTTCCTGCCCGAAAATTCCAGAGCCGAGCGACCCGGATTGGCTGGGCCACATCGACGCGATTGTCGCACGAGTGCCCTGCGACGAGCCGAGCGATTCCTGGGCGAAGGATATTCGGTGGCTGCATCGCCTTCTGACGGTCGCAAGATTTGTCATCAAGGTAAGGATGATCGCTTCTAAAACGTTTGCAGAGTTGACAAGATATTATTGCGCTTGATTTTTTATTTTATTTTTTATTTTTATTTTTATTTTTGTCACCCACTCTAATTCTCTGCGACAGCTGCGGCTGCTATGCTTTCGGGGCCGTGATTCCCTTGCTGGTAACCGCACATGGTTACCATTCGCGTTTCTCTCCTTGCGCCGCCCTCTTCCCCCCAATCGATTCCCTTGGAACAGTCTAACCGCCCGTGGTTACCAGTGGTGCTGCTCTCCGCGTGCCGCCCGCCGCCCAACCTCTTCCACTGCTCGCGCCTCGTGAGGCGGGAGGGGGACGTGTGGCTCTACAACCTGACGGCCAATGACATGCTGACACGTGCGCAGCCCCTGGGATCATGCGCCATGGCTCGACCAATCAACGCCACGGAGACAGGTAGTATTAGGCAAAAAAAGGATCGCGTTAGAGTCAGAACTTCTGAAGTATCAGGGTTAAAGGAACAAAATATAGTATATAACCCTAGAGTGTATTTCTCTATTGACCAGCTGTTATTTATATTCCCGGCCGCTTGAGTGTATTCCTCCCTTCCGTTCACACCCCTGTTCATCCCCCTTTCCTCCAGCCAGCCAGCGCATCGCGTATGCTACAGTGCTACACTCGTCTGAGCGCTATGTGTGCGGCGCAATAGTACTGGGGCACAGCATAAGGAGGACGGGGAGCACGGCTGAGATGGTTGTGCTTGTATCGAAGGAGATTACAGAGGAGAGCAGGCGAGGACTGAGGGAGGCTGGGTGGCGGGTGAAGGAGATTGAGAGGATAAGAAACCCCAACGCAGAGAAGGGGACTTATAACGAGTGGAACTACAGGTATGTGTGCTTATGAACGAGTCAGATGCCCTTCCGTCTTTCAAATTCCGGATTCCAAAAACTCATATGTTTTGTTGACTCCATTTAGAAGTGGTTGAATTTGTTGACTCTTCCCTCCCTCCCTTCCTCCCCCAGCAAGCTGCGGCTGTGGCAGCAGGTGGAGTACGCCAGGCTGGTCTTCGTTGACTCGGATCTGCTCCTGTTGACCAGCGTTGACTTCCTCTTCACATTCCCCGAGATCTCGGCTCGCGGAAACGACGGCTCAGATTTCAACTCGGGCGTGATGGTCTTGGAGCCATCGGATTGCACGTTCCAACTGCTGATGGAAAATTTGAGGAGAGTGCGGTCAGCCAATGGAGGAGACCAGGTGGGTTTCATTCTTCGCTTTTTTCTTTCACTCCCTCTCTCTCCCACCTGTCTTTTTTAATCTGAGGAGCATTTTCCCTGTGCTCCCCCCCCCCCCCTCTCGACCAGTGCTACCGTATTTGGACAATGCGTTCACGTGGTAGCACGGGTTACCGGAATCCGTAAACCCTCCCGCCCCCCCCCCCCCTTCTCGACCAGTGCTATTTGGACAACGCGTTCACGTGGTAGCACGGGTTACCGGAATCCGTCAACCCTCCCTCCCCACCCTCCTCCCCACCCCCCTCCCCCCCTCCCCAGTGACCAATCTCCCCCGTTCTCTCCCTCCCGTCATTTACTCGTCATCCCTCTGCGCCCAGGGCTATTTGAACAACGTGTTCACCTGGTGGCACCGCTTACCAGAGTCTATCAACATGCTTAAACCAGTCTGGACCACCGACCCTGTAAAGAGGGAAGCTGCCCTCGCTATAAGGAACAGGTGGTTTTCAGACGACCCCTCGGAAATTCACGCAATACACTACCTCGGTATAAAGCCCTGGTTGTGTTACCGTGAGTTTGACTGTAACAAGCTGGACGCAGCTCATTGCCTATTTGCAAACGAGGCTGCTCATAAGAGGTGGTGGAGTGTACACGATTCGCTGCCAGAACCCCTGAAGCAATTTTGCTGGTTAACTGTTGATGTAGAGAAGAAGCTAAAGAAGTGGATGGAGCTTTCAAATGCAACTACACTCCTAAACTGAGTGGAGATTGAGACGAGATGGGCATTGAGTGGTATTTCTATATCGGGTCATTTTTATTAGCTATAGTGATAGTGTTGTTTGCTGCTATCGTTTTTTGTATTATATTCCGTGAGATGAGAAAAGTACTCAAGTTTGTTTTGTCCGGTAGTAAGTATGTGGTGCAAGTAGGTGTACAATTCCATGGGTGAACTAGGCACGGAGGGGAAGTGAAACTTCAGCCTAACCTGTATTGCGTGTTTACATACAGTATTCCCCTGGAACAACCCCAAAGTACAGCAGTGCTTTAAGAGTCGGCTCAAAAGTGATCTCCTTTCATTTGGGGATAACCTCAGACCCACACTGCAGCACAGTTTCACCTGGATTTCTGTTGGAAATATCTCAAAGAACTTAAGCGTTTCTGAAGTATAACACTACACTCGAGGAAGACTACAAGGGAGCACGCGAGTCAACGGAGGTTACACGAGGGGGCGGACAAAGAATGCGAAAGGTCGCAACTGGAGGTTGCGACTGACCGTTACAGCATCATGGATGGTAACCGAAGCAGCAATCGAGTCGCTGTGCGACTCGATAAACCGTCCCTGTAACTGTACTCTACAACTGCTTTCTTATCTTCTATATATTGCTGTATGCTTGTTTCCTTAATCAATCACTTGTTCTCACATACTAGTACAAGGGTTCAACCGTCTCAACTTCCGCTGCACTACTCAAAGGCTCAAGTCTTCACAGCTGGGACTTAGTGTCTGAAAAGATCCTAAGGGCTTTTTCTCAGCCCAACATGGTATGAGAGCTGGTCAGAGACCAAACTCCCAGCAACTACACTCCATCAACAACCAGCAACTCGACTTGACTCAACAACTCCATTGATTACAAGACATGGACAACAAGGGCAAGAAAGCCTCTACGGGCTCACCCAGCGCCCAAGAAAGTCAACACGGCAACTCTGGTCTGCACACCTCAGGACTGCAGACAGAGACCGGGACTGCTCAAGAAACAACGGGAAGAGCACCGGAGATGGTGACTCCGTCTCCCTCTTCAAGTGTGGACCCGAATCTCATGGAGAGATTCTTCAGCTTCATGTCACACTTCGACCAGCAGCAGCAGACAAGGACACCTGCGCACTCAACACAGAGCAATGGAGGGAATATGGGATTAGCGCCGATGAGCCTCGACAACTCATCCTTCGGGCGACACAATAAAGCACCTACTTTTGCGCCTTATCACTCTTCACCGGGGACGTTCGAGTTCATGCCGCCCCGCGCCCAGCCAACAGCAGCTGCATCACAACAAACACCGAACGAAATCTTAAGTCTTCAGGCACAGTTCTCACACGTAATTAAACTTCAGACATCCTCACCGTTCAACGGACATGACTTCTTTACCTGGAGCTTCGAATTCGAGCTGCTGATGGAGGCCGCGCACCTTCTGGGATACTTCAACGGGTCCCTGCCATTCCCAAGCAACGGCACTGGGAAGGAACAAGAAATCTTCACGTATCAGTCGCTGCTGGCGTATACGGTACTCCTGAGAAACCTGTCGCCACAAGAGCAGCAGAGCATCAGAACGTATCGGAGTTATGGAAACTCCGCGGAACTCGCATGGCATCATCTCAAGTGCCTCTATCAAGCAAACGACAGCGTGACACAAAGCAGACTCATGCAACAGCTGACAACAATACAGATGAAGACCGGGGAAAAGGCAATGCAGTATATGAGTCGCTGCCAAACCCTCCGAGACCGCCTGCTCCGGTGCGGAGGAACGATCACTGAAGAAAGCTTCGTAACACTTGTCCTCGCCGGGCTCGGGCCAGAATGGAGAACCACACGATCACTTCTTCGAGCCCACGGAAGAATTTCGGAGATGCACCTCTGCGCCGAGCTTCACGCTGAACAACAGGAGATGGATCTGTTCGAGGAAAGACAACCAAGGAAGCAACAGCAGTTAGTCTTCTACACTCAAAGAAGAAATGACAACAACTACAACCGACGCAACAAGCAAGATCAACGCGACAACCGAGGACTCACCATCATACCGCCGTTCTGCCACAACTGCCAGACTTCCGGGCACTCCAAAGTCAACTGCAACCGCCCTCGCGTTTACCGTGCAGCAGACCCACAAGTAACTTCTACTCAAGCCAGTCCCCCAAGGCGCTCTTCAACATCTGCACAACAAACACCAAACATTATCAATTGCATGGTACACATCGACAACTGCGCACCCGGATCACCACCCACCTACGCGCCAGACGAAGAAGAGCTGCCGCCACCACGCTCACAAGGCCTTCAAGTCAATCCAACATATGCTGCGGTCGCCAACGCCGAACCCACCGGGCGAAACACCTGGTTCTTGGACAGCTGCTGCGGTCAACACATGTGCTCCTCGGGACGCTTCGTGCAACAGGAGAAACGCCTCAACCGCGACGTCGTCATCACCGTCGCCAACAACGAAAACCTGAAGACAAACAGACAAGGCGTGGTTCAGTTACAATCGATGGAGACAAACGTCATACTTCAGCTCAACAAAGTGCTCATTGTCGACAATCTGGGATACAACCTACGAAGCGTAAGCCAACTAATGGCCAAGGGGATTCACCTGGAGTGCGACTCCTACTCCAATGAGTTTCGGCTTTACCACGGGAAGGGCGGCCTCTTCATCGGGCGTGCCCTCCTGAAGTCCGGAGTCTTCGTGTTGGACTTCGTCCCCGACCGCGGTACTGCCGACAGCGACGGTATCGTATCATTCGCCGCCTGGACTCACCCGCCGGATCTTGATCCCGACTTCGACAGTGACGGCTTCTGGCACTCCAACACCATACCTGCAGCAGAGAGAACACGAGCATTAGCAGTTATCAGACAAGAAAGACAAGTACCCGCACGTGTCCTAACAAAACCATCACCTGCAGTATCGGCAGCAGGACCCAGCCGAGTACCACCACCAGCGACACGAGGACCGCCAACCGAAGCAGACCAACTTATGCCCGCCACACGAGAAGCTTGTCGAAGTCCCGCCTCGGTCGTCGCGTTCTTCTCCAACGCCGACATCTACCACCGCTCGCCCGGTCACCGCGCTCCCGACGACATCTGGCACCAACGTCTCGGACATCCTGCAAACAGCACGATACTTCAAACAATCCAAGCAGATGTGTTAGAACGCAACGCCCTTCTGACGACGAGCGGCCAAGAACTTCGACGACCACGCGCACGGTGCTTCACATGCCCTGAAGCAGATCTTCCTCATCAACCTTTCCCATCCCATCACAACCCAAGCGCACCTACTTACGCTCCGATGGAAAAGGTCTACAGCGATATTTTAAACATGCCTCGAGACGGCACCGAAGCCGACTTCAACTACGTCATCACGTTCATCGACGCCGCAACCAGATATGTCTGGCACTTCAACCTCACGACGCGCGATCAAGCCTTCGAAGCCTTCACAACATGGCTTCCCATCGCCGAACGAGAATCAGGACTCAAACTCAAGAGCTTCCAGTCAGACGGTGCACTGGAATACCAGTCACAACGCTTCAGGACCTATCTGGCGGAAAGAGGAATCAGACGCCTGGTGTCCCTGCCCTATGCTCACCAACAGCAGGGGGTCGCAGAACGCATGAATCGGACCTTGCAGACGACAATGCGCAAACTGCTTCAGGGGATGAGACTGCCAACCACACTATGGCCCGACGCGATGACACATGCTGTTCACCTGCACAACCTGCTGTCCTCGTCATCACTTCCCAACAACGCATCACCGCACCTGTTGTGGACACGAAAAAGGGGCAGCACAAAATTACTCAGAGTTTTTGGCTGCATGGTACAGTACAGACCCCACACAGCCCGAGCAGGACGCTTCACACAACGAGCTCGGTGGGGACTACACCTCGGCATCGCCAAACATTTTCACGCGTGGAAAATTCTCGACATACAAAACAAAAACACGGTGGCATCACGAGATGTTATCTTCTACGAGCGACTGACGCTGCAGCATTACCTGGACAACATTGCCAACACACAAGACCCCACCGACGGCTTCTCAGGACTTCGTTCCTTCGCCGACCGTGCCGCCGAAGCTGACGCAGCAGAAGAAGACGTACCTGAAGCCTCGGAAGCTGCCGGACCACTCCCATTCTGTTCCGTACCTGTTCCACTCGACGAAGAAAATCCTCTCGATAGCAACAACCTCGACACCTTTTACCACTTCGCTGACCAAGGTTACGTTACACCCCACCCAGCCGACACAAATGTTTCAGAACGCATCGGTCCCAACTTCTTACCTGACCCAGAAGACGGTGACGAAGCAGCTTATTCCGGGAATGAAAATTCCCCTCGACACACCCCCACGGGACTGCAGATTCTAGGCCTCTGGGTCTCCGTCCAGCATCCGCCGCCGCCTTCTCCGCGAGAGCCTTCAACCTTGTCGCAGGCTCTGGGGGGGGAACATAAGGCGAAATGGAAGGAAGCGATGGAAAAGGAGTTAAAGGCTCTGCAAGACCGGAAAACATGGAAACTGGTACCTGCAACAAGCATCAACGGGAAGAACGTCCTCTCGGGGAAATGGGTGTACCGCATTAAGACCAACTCAGACGGCTCCATCGAACGATTCAAAGCTCGATGGGTCGTACGAGGCTTCGATCAACGATACGGGACCGACTACACAGAAACCTTCGCTCCAGTCTCCCGTCACACCTCATTACGCATCCTACTCGCCATCGCGGCCACGAAGACATTACCACTACGCCAAATCGACGTCGCGAATGCGTTCCTATACGCACCTGTGGACGCTGACATCTTCGTCGAACAACCCCACGGATTCATCGACGACCCCACGAAAGTATGCCAACTGACAAAATCCCTTTACGGGATCAAGCAAGCCCCGCGGCTCTGGCAGCAGCATCTTCACGGCCGGCTCGTAAAAATTGGATTCCTACAGCTACCGCATGACCAAGGCATGTACCGACTGCAGCAGGGAAGAGAATACATCTTACTCATCGTCTATGTCGACGACCTACTCTAAATCAGTTCTACCACCGACATCGCCACCTGGTTCGAAGGGGAGCTGAAAGGAGACCTGACGATCACGGTGTCCGACTCAGTGACCCAGTACTTGGGACTAAATGTCGTCGAAGACAACTCGGCGTTCTACCTACACGCTGGAAAGTACGCAGGCACTATCGCGAAGAAATTCGGACTGACGCCGACTACGGTCCCGACCCCCTACCGCTACGGAAATAACAACAGCGCCCCCGCAAAACTCCCCGCGAAGCAAATCCAGGAGTATCAACAGAAGCTCGGCTGCCTACTATTCGCAGCAGTAACCTGCCGACCCGACCTGTCCTACAGTGCAAGTCAACTGGCGACGCATCTGAAGCAACCGGAACAGGAAGATCTCGAGGAGCTCAACCGGGCACTACTCTACTTCGTCTCCACGCCGACGATCGGGCTTACCTACAGCAAAGCAACAACACCGTCCGTACGACTACTCGGATATGTCGACGCCGACCACGCGGGAGATAAGGAAAATCGACGATCCAGGACGGGCTACATCTACCGACTAGAGCCCATCGGAACTATCTCCTGGCAGTCGAGCAAGCAGGAGTTAATCGCACTATCCTCGGCTGAAGCAGAGTATATCGCCCTTTGTACTGCGACCAAGGAAGGACTCTACCTACGGGAGTTACTCGAGGAAGCGAAGATCGCGACCCTACCCGCCTTCTCACTCCTCTGCGACAACCAATCCGCGATCAAAATCGCGAACAAGGATGGCTTCGCCAACCGAACCAAGCACATCGCCCTACGGTACTTCTTCGTCAAGGATGAAATCGCGAAGGGGAGACTTCAACTCAGTTACTGCCCGACGACAGAAATGGCCGCAGACTATTTGACGAAGAAATTGGCGAAGACAAAATTCGACCACTGCATGCTGCTGACCGGACAGACAAACGTCACCAGATCCGAACATAACAGCACTCCAGAAACGAAGGGGAGTGTTGGAAATATCTCAAAGAACTTAAGCGTTTCTGAAGTATAACACTACACTCGAGGAAGACTACAAGGGAGCACGCGAGTCAACGGAGGTTACACGAGGGGGCGGACAAAGAATGCGAAAGGTCGCAACTGGAGGTTGCGACTGACCGTTACAGCATCATGGATGGTAACCGAAGCAGCAATCGAGTCGCTGTGCGACTCGATAAACCGTCCCTGTAACTGTACTCTACAACTGCTTTCTTATCTTCTATATATTGCTGTATGCTTGTTTCCTTAATCAATCACTTGTTCTCACATACTAGTACAAGGGTTCAACCGTCTCAACTTCCGCTGCCCTACTCAAAGGCTCAAGTCTTCACAGCTGGGACTTAGTGTCTGAAAAGATCCTAAGGGCTTTTTCTCAGCCCAACAATTTCTAAGCCGAGCTCCCTCCCTCTCCACATTCCCCCATCTCTCCGCCCCCTCACCTCCCCTTCATTTTCCTTCCCTTCCCTGTCTGCCCTCCCCTCCATTCCCCGTTCATCTAGAAATAACCCGAGAATGGGACCGCATCAAAGAGCACTGAACTTCCCCTCGAGCTTCCACCTCCCCCCGTCCGCTCCCCATCTCCTCCCCCCATCTCCCCCACCCCCATCTCCTCCCCACAACTTCTCCCCCCGTCTCCTCCCCCCATTTCCATCACATTAGGGAATGACCCCATAATGCATCACAAAGCCGCAGCAGTAATCCCCTGCCGAGCTCCTCTACCATCCAGCTCCCCCGTGACTTCTTCATATCCCCCTCTAACCTCCCCTGCCCCTGCCCCTGCCCCTGCCAACTCCCCCTCTGTCACATGGGAATCACTTCAGACTGCACGCCAGTCCCACAGAAATTCACAGTCACCCCATCGCCAGCGCTCGTGGGAGTTCCCCCTGTTGTCCCCCTCCACACACGCTCACTTCTGGTGCTCGTGCCGACACCATCCCATGCCCACCCCATTCCCTGTCTCTTTCCCAGCCCCTATCCCCCCTTCCTCCCCGCTCTTTCACCTGGGAATCACCTCAGACTGCACGGCAGTGCTGCTCAAAGTCACAGTCGCCCCATCGCCATCGCCAGCACTCGTTGGAGTCCCACCGCTGCTACCCATATTGTCCCCCACCCCTGCCCCTCCTACCCTTCCCCCGTTTCACCTGGGAATCACTTCAGACGGCACGGCAGTGCCGCTGAAAGTCACAGTCACCCCATCACTGGCGCGTGTGAGTACCCCCCATCATCCCCCGCCGCCACAGACTGCCTCTGCTGCTGCTTGTGTTGTCCCCCAATCCCTGCCCCTCCGACCTCCCTCCTCTTTCACCTGGGGATCACTTCAGACTGCACGCCAGTCCCACTGAAGGTCACAGTCACCCCATCGCCATCGCCAGCACTTGTTGGAGTCCCACTGCTGCTGCCCGTGTTGTCCCCCACCCCTGCCTCTCCTCCTCCCCCCTCTTTCACCTGGGAATCACTTCAGACCGCACGGCAGTGCCGCTGAAAGTCACAGTCACCCCATCACCAGCACTCGGGGGAGTGCCCGCAGTCGTCCCCCTCCACACACTCCCACTGCTGCTTCCTGTGTTGTTCTCTCCATCCCCTGCCCCATCCCCTCCCCAGTTTCACCTGGGAATCACTTCAGACTGCACGGCAGTGCCGCTGAAAGTCACAGTCACCCCATCACCAGCACTCGTGGGAGTGCCCGCAGTCGTCCCCCTCCACACACTCCCACTGCTGCTGCCCGTGTTGTTCTCCCCATCCCCTCCCCCTCCCCCTCCTCCGCCTCTCCCTCCCCCCGGCCCCCCCTGCCCTCCTCTCTGCTTCCGCAGTAGATCCTCAAACCACGAATGTTCATCCTCCTCATCCTCCTCCTCTCCATCCCCTCGCTCCGCATACCCGCTCGGGCCTCCCTTGGACGCCGTGGCAGCAATCTCCGCCCAAAACTTGTCACTCGCCCGCGACTTCACTCCACTCACAGTTTCCCCCTTCTCCGCATGATACCATTCCCCATCGTCCCTCCCACCACCACCACCACCACCACCAGCTGCACCACCACCACCAGCACCGCCGCCGCTGCCGCTGCGCAAATCAGAGGAGCGGTGGTCCAGCCGGCGCCTGATGGCTTCGAGTTCCTTTAGCACTTGCTGCATGTCGGGTCGGTTCTGCGCCTGCTTGAGACTGCACCGCATCCCAAGCCGCAGAAACCACTCAAACGTCTCCTGCAACGCCTCACTATCACACAGCCCCACCTCTCCCCCCCCTCCCTTAGCACCTCCCCCTTCTCCGCCTCCGCCCCCGCTTCCCTCCCCCGCCCGCTGCTGCTCGCACATGGTTTTAAGTCTTGGGTCCATGACACTGAACACGCCGCCATGGTTGGTAATCCTATCAACCACGATTCTCCTGATGTGCTCGCCGCCCGTTACGGGGCGAAGGCCCGTGGCCAGCTCTAGGAGGACGATGCCGAAGCTGAAGACATCACTCTTCTCGGTTAAGAGATCGCACAGGAAGTACTGAGGATCGAGATAGCCCTGATGGGATGGGAGGTGGTGGAAGGAGGGGGGGTGGTGGAAAGTTAGGGGTTGGGCGCAGGCCCGTGGCCAGCTCTAGGAGGACGATGCCGACGCTGAAGACATCACTCTTTTCTGTTAACAGGTCACAGAGAAAATATTGTCGGTTTAGGTATCCCTGATGGGAGATGAGGGAAGGGGCCGGGGGGGAAAGGGGAGGGGAAGGGTGGAAAAGTGAGGGATTGGGCGAAGGCCCGTGGCCAGCTCTAGGAGGACGATGCCGACGCTGAAGACGTCACTCTTTTCTGTTAACAGGTCACAGAGAAAATATTGTCGGTTTAGGTATCCCTGATGGGAGGTGAGGGAAGGGGCCGGGGGGGAAAGGGGAGGGGAAGGGTGGAAAAGTGAGGGATTGGGCGAAGGCCCGTGGCCGGCTCTAAGAGGACGATGCCGAAGCTGAAGATGTCAGGCTTCTCTGTGAGAAGGTCACACAAGGAGTACTGAGGATCGAGATAGTCCTGATGGGGGGATATGGCTGTTGGGAGAGTGGGGGTGGGGTTGAGAGTTGGCGGAAGCTCCGCGGCCAGCTCAAGCAGCACGATGCTGAAGCGGAAGACGTCACTCTGTTCCGTCAGTAAATCACAGTGATAGGGTTTTGAGATTAATGAAATGAAATAAAATGAAATAATAACAAATCGCAGAAGACATACTGAGGATCGAGAAAACCCTGTTTGGAAATGGAATTGTTGGGAGGGAGGCGAGAGGGGGTGAGGGATGGTGGAAACGTTAGGGGTGAGGTGAGGTGAGGTGAGGTGAGGTGAGGTGAGGTGACGGCCAAAGCTGAATATGAAACAAGTGGCAAAAAGAGTGGCAGAAACAAGCGTGGCGATTACACACTCCCCTGCACTCACCACTGTCCCTTTGACTTGCGTCTCCAGCTTCCCCCCTACGCCTCCTCAGGCACGGCCTTGGCAAAAACAAGTGTGCCATCGGCGCACTCCCCTAAACCTGAAACCACTGACCCCGTGACTCACCACTGACCCCGTGACTCACCACTGACCCTGTGACTCACCACTGTGCCCTTGACTTGTGTCTCCAGCTTCCCCTCTGCCTCTTCAGGCACGGCCTTGGAGATGCCGAAGTCAGCCACCTTGGCTTCCAGGTCTGCTGTGATCAGGATGTTGGCCGTCTGGTAGGGGGGGGAGGGGGCAGGGGGGAGGGGGATGGAGAAGAGGGGAGGGGAAGGGGGAAGTGGGCAAGTGGGTCTATTAGATGCCGAAGTTAGCCACCTTGGCTTCCAGGTCCGCTGTGATCAGGATTTTGGCCGTCTGGTAGGGGGCAGGGTGACAGGGGGCAGGTGGAAAGGGGCAGGGGGCAGGGGGCAGGGGGTGGGGGCCAGGGGCAGGGGGCAGGGGGCAGTGGGTGCGGGCCAGGGGCCAGGGGCCAGGGGGCAGGGCGCAGGGGTGATATATTCTGTAGGCCTTGAAATTACCGAAGTCAGCCAACTTGGCTTCGATGTCCGCTGTGATGAGGATGTTGGCCGTCTGGCACAAGAAGAGGGGGGTGCGATACTGGGGGGTAGGGGGGGAAGGGGGGGGGCACGGGGGCAAGCGAGGAAGGGGATGGAAGGGGAGAGGAGAGGGAATGGAGGGCGGCCGGGGGAAGGGAGGGCGGGAGGGGGAAGGGAGGGCGGGAGGGGGAAGGGAGGGCGGGAGGGGGAAGGGAGGGCGGGAGGGGAAGGGGGGCGGGAGGGTGAAGGGAGGGCGGGAGGGGGAAGGGAGGGCGGGAGGGGGAAGGGGGGGCGGGAGGGTGAAGGGAGGGCGGGAGGGGGCAGGGAGATCGGCAGGGGGAAGGGAGAGCAGGAGGGTAAATGGGGAAGGGGAGGGGGCAGGGGGGGAATAGAATTCTGGCCATGGGGAAATATAGCCTTGGACCTTGGCTTCCAGAGGATGTGATGACGATGATGATGGTTGTCTGAAGTTAAGTAGTTTAGTCTTGAGACGTCTCAAAACTGAACTACTTAACCTTCGCTAAAGGAGGATGTGGTGGCGATGATGGTTGTCTGGAGGTGGAATTGTGAGACGCCTCCAAAATAAACCCCCTATCACGTTTTGAGATGTCTCGAAATGACCCCTCCACCACGTTTTGTGGCGTCTCAAAATAAACCTTCTACCACGTTTTGAGAGACGTCTCAAAATAAACCTTCTACCACGTTTTCAGAAGTCTCAAAATAAACAATCCACCACGTTTTTAGACGTCTCAAAATAGACCTTCTACCACGTTTTGAGAGACGTCTCAAAATAAACCTTCTACCACGTTTTCCGAAGTCTTAAAATAAACAGTCCACCACGTTTTTAGATGTCTCAAAATAGACCTTCTACCACGTTTTGAGGCGTCTCAAAATAAGCCTTCTACCACGTTTTGAGACGTCTCAAAAATAAGCCCTCTGACTCGTTTTGAGACGCCTCAAAATAATACTTGTATCGCTTTTTGAGACGTCTCAAATTGATGATGATAATGATGATGATGGTTGTCCGGACGGGGAATGGGGATGAGGGGGGATGCAGAAAAGGTATGTTATCAGCACGCATGTATGTTCGTGTGCACATCCCCCCTACCGTCCACATCCCGATGGATAATTGGTAGCTTGATCTGATGGTGCAGGTGGTCCAAGCCAGGCAAATCGCACATGCATGAGCATTGAGCATGCATGTTCGCGCTCATTTCCCTAACCCAACCCCCCGTTGACATTGCAGTGGATAATCGGTGGCTTGAACTGACGTTGCGATGCAGGTACTCCAAGCCACTGGCCGGCCCACATGTGATGCGCGTTTGCATGCACACACCCATACACATGCACACATGAGCACGCATGTATGTTCACGCACACTCACCTTCACATCCCGGTGGATGATTGGCGGCTTGATCTGACGGTCCAGGCAGTCGAAGCCACTGGCTGCTCCACAGGCGACACGTGTTTGCAAGCTCACAACAAGTGTGTACGTACACACGCGCAATATACACACAGCACACCCCCTCCCTACCTTGACATCTCTGTGGATGATGGGCGGCTTGATCTGATGGTGCAGGCAGTCGAAGCCACTGGCCGCCCCACATGTGATGCTCGTTTGCATGCACACATCCACCCACACACACCCACAATCATAAACAATCACACGTGAGCAAGCATGTACGTGCGTTCACGCACCTTCACATCGCGATGAATGATGGGCCGCTTGATCTGACGGTGCAGGTAGTCGAAGCCACTGGCCGCTGCAGAGGCGAACGGATCCCATGTGCACACACATGCATTCACACAAGTGCGTACGCATGCACACAGACACACTCCCCCCTCACCTTCACATCGCGGTGGATGATGGGTGGCTTGATCTGGTGGTGCAGGTAGGCGAAGCCATTGGCTGCCCCACAGGCGATGTTAACCCGCTGACGCCACGTCAGCGGGTGCTTTGAGTCGGCTGGTGGTGGGGAAAGGAAAGGGGAAGAGGGGGGGGGGGGGGGGGGGAGGGGAGAGGGAGGGGGGGGTGGTGGGGGACACGGGGATGCATTATGCATGAGTATAAGCAGCCGCTGGCAGGTGAACTGGCTGTGCACAAGCGATGGCGACCCCCTGCTGCCACCACATCAGCAGCTGCTCTAAGTTGGCTGGTCATGGGGAAGGGCGAGGGAGGGGGATGGGGGATTGGTATACTTGGGAAGGCCCTAGAGCCCTCTCTCGTTGACCATAAAGAGGGGGAGTACCTGCTTCTGACACACAAACAGCAACGACTTCGTGCACCAGCACCAGCAGCAGCAGCACCAGCAGCAGCAGCAGCAGCAGCAGCAGCAGCAGCAGCAGCAGCAGCAGCAGCAGCAGCAGCAGCAGCAGCAGCAGCAGCAGCAGCAGCAGCAGCAGCAGCAGCACCAGCAGCTGCTGCTGCTGCGCTGTACCCCTTTCTGCATGCCTTCCAGTGTGCCCCTCTCAGTGAATTCGTGCACCAGCAGCTGCTGACCCCGCCTCTACCCACAAGCCTGTGGGCAATCAAATCCAGCCGGGACCCAACCCACTACTCCCAACCTCCCTACGTACCTCGCACGCACCATATCCTCCAGGGTGCCCCTCTCGATGTATTCGTGCACCAGCAGCTGCTCCCCTGCCTCCACACAGACGCGGATCACACGGACATCTCTGTCTGCCTGCGCTTATCACGGCAACCCACGCATCTCCCCAGCACTCACGTCGCAGCATGTCTTCCAGGGTGCCCTTCTCAATGAACTCGTACACCAGCAGCTGCTCGCCCTCCTCCACACAGAAGCCTTTCAGCTGCACCAGGTTGCGGTGGCGCACCGCTGAGAGCAGCGTGATCTCGTTGCGGAACTCCGTGCCGCACAGCTGACCGGAAACGGGAGGGGGGAATGGGAGCATGGGGGGGCGCGCGGGGGGGGGAGAAGGGAGAGATGGCATGGGTAGGAGATTCGAAACCCTCTGAGAACCACGAGGTTGTATTTTGAGTCGACTCAAAATATTTTGTTGTATTTTGAGTCGACTCAAAGTACAAGGGGAGAGATGGCGTGGGTAGGAGAGGTGAAACCCTCTGAGAACCACGAGGTTACGGTGGCGCACGGCCGAGAGGAGTGTGATCGTGTTGCAAAACTCCATGCCGCACAGTTGGTGGGGAATGAGGGGAGGGGATGGGGGGACGTGGGGGGAGAGAGAGAGCGAGATGGAGACTCAGAAGCCTTTCAGCGCCACCGGGTTGCGGTGGCGCACAGCTGAGAGGCGTCTCATTTTGTTGCACAACTCCAGACAGCTGGTAGGGTGAGTCAGAGAGGCAGAACCAGACTGTAGATAGAAAACCGGAGAGGCTAAGGGGCAGAACCCCTGGCAGAAGAAAACTAAGGTAGGTTGAATTCGATCTGCCTCAAAATTCGCACCAAAATCTGCTGACTTGGATGTGGGATTACGTAGGCTTTCACTCAGTGTGCCACCTGAAACCTGAAATGCACCTGACATAACACCTGAAACCTGGTATGGACAACCCCTCTGGCCATATGCGTTCCCCTGGACCCACTTCACACATAAAAATTCCACCGGAGAATTCACCTGACAGTCCACCTGACAGTCCACCTGAAGATTCGCCTGACCTACCTTCACATGCCCCTTGGCTCGTTTCACTGCCACCACGTCCCCCGAAGCCAGCACTCCCCTGTACACCTGGTGGCGTGGAGACATGGGAGGGCCATTAATCAAGCGGATGAGAAGAAATAGAGCAAGGCATGGCAAGGTAAGGCAAGGTATGACAAGGTAAGGCAAGGCATGGCAAGGTAAGGCAAGGCATGGCAAGGTAAGGCAAGGTATGACAAGGTATGGCAAGGTATGGCAAGGTATGGCAAGGTATGGCAAGGTATGGCAAGGTATGGCAAGGTATGGCAAGGTATGGGGAAGGCATATGGGAGAACAGCTGAAGGGTGGAGCATCGACGTGCAAGCTGCCACCACATCCCCCAAGGCCAGCACTCCCCAGCGCGCTGAGTCGCGTCTCACGGTTTAAATTGAACCCATATTTGCCTGACCTTACGCCTCCCTCCCTGCTTACGTCGCTTTAAAGGTGTAACTGCGACCTGCCCTGCCTCCCAGGTATACCTGTCCATACCCAGCCCCCCTCCCCCCAGTCACACCTGTCCGTATCCGCCCTCCCCCAGCAGCGTCTTGAACCCCTGGGTGGCGTCCTCTATCTCCTTGAGCTTGCACCGATGCACTCCCAGCCTCTGCAGGCCCTCGATCGCCTTGTAGTCCTCCGGGGTCCACAGGTCTGCCACAGAGGGAGACGAGGGGATTGGGGAGAGAGGCGACAGAGGGGAGGGGAGGGAACACATGTGCCTTGACCTTCACCGATGCACCCCAAGCCCAAGCCTCTGCAGGCCCTTAATAGCCTTGTAGTCCTCCGGGGTCCACATGTATGATGTGTGGAAGAGGAAAAGAGAATGAAAGAGAGAGGAAGTGAGAGAGATTGTGAGAGAAAACGTGAGAGAGAGGGTCAAATAGTGCCTCCCCTTGAGCTTGCACCAATGCACTCCGAGCCTCTGCAGGCCCTCGATCGCCTTGTAGTCCTCCAAGGTCCACAGGCCTGGTGTTACCGGAAACACAAGGGAGGGCAGGGGAGGGGTAGGGAGGTGAGAGGAGGGGAGAGGAGGGGAGGGGAGAGGAGTTGGAAGGAGGGGAGAGGACGGGAGAGGACGGGAGAGGAGGGAGAGGAGGGGAGAGGAGGGGAGGGGAGGGGAGAGGAGAGGAGGGGAGAGGGGAGGGGAGGGGAGGGGAGGGGAGGGGAGAGGAGGGGAGAGGAGGAGAGAGGAGGGGAGGGGAGGGGAGGGGAGGGGAGAGGAGGGAGAGGAGGGAGAGGAGGGGAGAGGAGGGGAGGGGAGGGGAGAGGAGAGGAGGGGAGAGGGGAGGGGAGGGGAGGGGAGGGGAGGGGAGAGGAGGGGAGAGGAGGAGAGAGGAGGGGAGGGAGGGGAGGGGAGGGGAGAGGAGGGGAGAGGAGGGAGAGGAGGGGAGAGGAGGGGAGGGAGGGGAGAGGAGAGGAGGGGAGAGGGGAGGGGAGGGGAGGGGAGGGGAGGGGAGAGGAGGGGAGAGGAGGAGAGAGGAGGGGAGGGGAGGGAGGGGAGGGGAGGGGAGGGGAGGAGAGAGGAGGCGAGGGGAGGAGGGGAGAGGAGAGGAGAGGAGGGGAGAGGAGGGGAGAGGAGGGGAGAGGAGGGGAGAGGAGGGGAAAAGGGGGGAGAAGGGTGGAGAAGAGGGGAGGGGAGGGGAAAGGAGCAGAGATGGCGTGAGCTTGAGCCGATGCACGAGCAGCTCTTCTATCGGGTTGTGACCCACACAGTTGCACCAGACTGATATGGTGCCATTTGTTCTGAGAGGGAATAAGAGAACAAAATGTTGAAAGAGGTTTCCTCAGGCGCCTGAGGATCCAGTCTGATCTGATACTGTGACCTTTGCTGCAAAAGAGGGAACATGAAAGAGTGAACAAGGGTGGACGGACGGACGGAAGTTCGGAGAGGGGAGACTGGTAACCACTGTCCTTCGCATGGCCTTTCATTCTTTTGAATAAGAGCCTCACCTTTCCTCTTGCTCATTTCTGGGAGCGACTTTTGAGTTTGACTCAGATATCAACTCAACATAGCAAAATGACTCGCCTTTCATCTTGTTCCTCTGCAGGAGCAACCACACCAGCAGCAGCACAATTAGCGCAAGTGCCACCACTCCCCCCACCACAATGCCCACGATCGCAGCAGTTGACATGCCGCCGCCCCCACTAGGGGCACTAGGGGGCGCAGGGGGCGAGGGAGGGGGATCTGGTGATGTGGGGAACGGGAATGGGGGAGAGTGAGAAAGGGGAGTGATAAGCAGGCTGTTAGTCGGCAGGGAATGACAGCAGGAGTGATGAGCAGGCATGTGAGAGAGCAGTGCAATCGCAGCAAGGGCCGCCACTCCCCCCACCAGTGAGGAAGGGGAGTGATATAGCAGGCGTGCTAGTCAGCAGAGCAACAACAGCAAGAGTGATGATCAGGCGTGGGAGAGAGGAAAGGAAAACAATCACTTGCTTCCCCCACTCCTCACGTGAAGCCATAGATACTTCTTTCAGATCTCATGCGCCCCATACACACCTTCCCCAGTCTTCACCTTCCCCAGTCTTTACCTGCCCATACACACCTTCTCCAGTCCTCACCTGCCCATACACACCTTCCCCAGTCCTCACCTGCCCATACACACCTTCCCCAGTCCTCACCTGCCCATACGCAGCTTCCTCAGTCCTCACCTGCCCCATACACACCTTCCCCAGTCCTCACCTGTCGCGTTTCAGATCCCCACATCTTGCCATAAAGAGGAGGACCTATGCATATTCTCACCTGGGCCATGCAAGCCTCTCCCAGTCCTCACCTGGTCCATACACACCCGTCCCCTAGTCCTCACCTGCCCCATACACACCCTCCCCTAGTCCTCACCTGGCCCATACATGCCCGCCACTGTGTAAGGCCCGAAGTCCGGCCCCAGCACCACCTTGTGCCACACAAACGAGAGTCCTTGTCACTCGCTATGGAGTGGGCTAATGTTCTCACCTGGCCCATACATAGCCTCCACTGTAAACGGCCCGAAGTCAGGCCCCAGCATCACCTTGTGCCACACAAACGCCTCTCTTATCTCCTGTGGCTGATCCGCTGGCTGCCATGCACTGCTGCCGCTGCCACTGCTGCTGGTGGTAGCGCTGCTGCTGCTGCTGCTGCTGCCACTGCTGCTGGCAGTGGTGCTGGTGTCGCTGCTGACCCTTGCGGTGGTGCTGGCAGTGGTGCTGATGGTGGCACCAGGGGTGAAGGAGTAAGTGCCGTAGGAAGAGGAAGGGGAAGAGGGTGGAGGCGGAGAGGAGGGGGGGAGGACGAGGAGGAGGAGGAAGTGGGGGAGGAGTAAGGGGAAGAGGGGGGGGGGGAGTAAGAGGAGGAGGAGGAAGAAGACGGGGGGAAGGCAGCGGGGGGGAGGAGGAAGCGAAGGAGGAGGAGAGAGAGGAAGAGGAGGGAGGGGGGAAGAAACGGATGGTGGTGGTGATGCTGGAAGGGGAGAGGATGGAGCCGTCCGCTGACACTATGGCGATCTGTGGAGGTCGGGAGGGGGGGGAAGGAAGGGAGGAGGGGGGGGAAGGAAGGGAGGAAGGGGGGGAAGGAAGGGAGGAGGGGGGGAAGGAAGGGAGGAGGGGGGGGGAAGGAAGGGAGGAGGGGGGGGAAGGAAGGGAGGAGGGGGGGGGAAGGAAGGGAGGAGGGGGGGGAAGGAAGGGAGGAGGGGGGGAAGGAAGGGAGGAGGGGGGGGGAAGGAAGGGAGGAGGGGGGGGAAGGGTGGGGGAAAGGGGGCAGGGGGAAGGGTGGGGGAAAGGGGGCAGGGGGAAGGGTGGGGGAAAGGGGGCAGGGGGAAGGGTGGGGGAAAGGGGGCAGGGGAAGGGTGGGGGAAAGGGGGCAGGGGGAAGGGTGGGGGAAAGGGGGCAGGGGGAAGGGTGGGGGAAAGGGGGCAGCGGGAAGGGTGGAGGAAAGGGGGCAGGGGGGAGGGTGGGGGAAAGGGGGCAGGGGAAGGGTGGGGGAAAGGGGGCAGGGGGAGGGTGGGGGGATGGCTGACGGTGGAAGGGGAGAGGATGGAGCCGCGGGCTGAGACTGTGGCCATCTGGCGGCGGGGGGGGGGGGGTGGGTGAGGGGGGGGTGTTGAGGGGGGGAGAGGAGGAAACGGGAGAAGGAACAGAATGGCGGAGGGTGGAAGGGGAGAGGATGGAGCTGTTGGCTGCGGCTATGGCAATCTGCTCTGCGGGGAGCGAGGGAAAGGGACGGGGGGAGGGAGAAGTGGCGTGAGGGAGGGGGTAAGGGAAGAAGCAAGCGTGAAGGGAAGGAGCAAGGGTGAAGGGGAGGGGAGGAACTGGAAGGGAGGGCGGCAGGAGGAGCGAGGAATGAATGTCAGGTTCCAGGGACAATGAGGAACGGGTTGAGAGTTGATTGAAAAGCTGACCCAATGACAGCAGCACGACCCACCTGCCCAGTCGAGATGCCGATCCCGTTCTTGCCCAGACTCTCCGCTATCCTCTTTATAAGCAGGTCCGCCAGCTCGTCATTGAACACTGCATACTGTGGTGCGGTGAGCTTGAGCTCAACCTCCAGCGGCGACACACAGGTGCAGACGTTGGACAGGGCGAGGAGAGGAGGGCTGGGCGAGTACAGGGAGGGGCAGGAGAGGTGGTCGCAGATGGGGGGCGGCTGGTACTGCATGATGTCACGCGGAGGGGAGCAGGCAGCAGTGACCTCGGGCGGTACGGCACACAGAGATCATTGCCGTAGAGCCTGCAGGGCAGAGATGGGTGTGGGAGGCAAGCATAGGGAGAGACGTGGGAGACCAGAGAGGCACGAGCAGGCGGGAGAGGGAGAGCAGACGGGAGGTGGCTGGTACTGCATGATGTCACGAGGAGGGGAGCAGGCAGCAGTGACCTCGGGGCGGTAGGGCACACAGAGATCATTGCCGTAGAGCCTGCAGGGCAGAGATGGGTGTGGGAGGCAAGCATAGGGAGAGACGTGGGAGACCAGAGAGGCACGAGCAGGCGGGAGAGGGGAGAGCAGATGGGAGGTGGCTGGTACTGCATGATGTCACGCGGAGGGGAGCAGGCAGCAGTGACCTCGGGGCGGTAGGGCACACAGAGATCATTGCCGTAGAGCCTGCAGGGCAGAGATGGGAGTGGGAGGCAAGCATAGGGAGAGACGTGGGAGACCAGAGAGGCACGAGCAGGCGGGAGAGGGAGAGCAGATGGGAGGTGGCTGGTACTGCATGATGTCACGCGGAGGGGAGCAGGCAGCAGTGACCTCGGGGCGGTAGGGCACACAGAGATCATTGCCGTAGAGCCTGCAGGGCAGAGATGGGAGTGGGAGGCAAGCATAGGGAGAGACGTGGGAGACCAGAGAGGCACGAGCAGGCGGGAGAGGGAGAGCAGATGGGAGGTGGCTGGTACTGCATGATGTCACGCGGAGGGGAGCAGCAGCAGTGACCTCGGGGCGGTAGGGCACACAGAGATCATTGCCGTAGAGCCTGCAGGGCAGAGATGGGAGTGGGAGGCAAGCATAGGGAGAGACGTGGGAGACCAGAGAGGCACGAGCAGGCGGGAGAGGGAGGGCAGATGGGAGGCGGCTGGCACTGCAATATGGCGCGAGCGGGCGAGCATGCAGCGGTGACCTCAGGGCGGTAGGGCACACAGAGATCATTGCCGTAGAGCCTGCAGGGCAGAGATGGGTGTGGGAGGCAAGCACAGGGAGAGACATGGGAGACCAGAGAGGCACGAGCAGGCGGGAGAGGGAGAGCAGATGGGAGGTGGCTGGTACTGCATGATGTCACGAGGAGGAGAGCAGGCAGCGGTGACCTCGGGGCGGTAGGGCACACAGAGATCGTTGCCGTAGAGCCTGCAGGGCAGAGATGGGTGTGGGAGGCAAGCATAGGGAGAGACGTGGGAGACCAGAGAGGCACGAGCAGGCGGGAGAGGGAGAGCAGATGGGAGGTGGCTGGTACTGCATGATGTCACGAGGAGGGGAGCAGGCAGCGGTGATCTCGGGGCGGTAGGGCACACAGAGATCATTGCCGTAGATCCTGGAGGGGGGGATTGAACGGGAGGAACAGATGTGGGGGGGGGGGGAAGATGGGGGGGGAAGGGAGAGGGGGGGGGAGGGGAGATGGGGGCAGGGGCGGCTGGTGGTGAGAGGTGCTCATGTGAAATGGCTTTGGTGGAGTTAGTGAGTGAGTGAGTGAGTGAGTGAGCGGCTTGAGGCGCCTCACTGCAGTATGACATTCTCATTGCTGAGCATGGCAGCATATGCCCGGGTGAAGTGAGTGAGGGAGTGTTCGCTAGTCGCAACTCACTGCAGGATGACGTTCTCGTTGCTCAGCATGGCAGCAGGCTCCCATGTGAAGTGAAGTGGTTGTCGTAGAGGGAGTGGGTGAGATAGTGGCTGCTGTAAGCGAGTGAATGCGTGAGTGAGCAGCACTCACTGCAGGGTGACGTTCTCATTGCTGAGCAGGGCAGCAGACGCCCATGTGAAGTGGTTGTCGAAGAGGGAGATGGTGGCGATGGCAGGGAGGGTGTCCAAGAGAGGCACACGGCCCGTCAGGTTGTTGTCGGAGAGGATACTGGGGGAGAGAAGAGGGGGGAGGGGGATGGGGGGGTGGGGGAAAGAAATAGGGTAGCAGGAGAAAGGCCAACAGGTGCCCGGGTGAAGTAGTTATCGTAGAGGGAGGTAGTGGCGATGGCAGGCAATGTGTCCAACTGAGGCACAGGGCCCACCAGGTTGTTGTCGGATAGGATACTGGGGGAGTGTGGGGGGGGGGGGGAATGTGGGTGGGAGAAAGGGAGGAGGAGACGCCCCAGGCGAAGTGGTTGCCTAAGAGTGAGATGGTGGCGATGGCAGGGAGGGTGTCCAAGTGAGGCACAGGCCCCGTCAGTTTGTTGTCTGATGGGAGACTGGGGAAAAGAGGAGGAAGGAGAACTGTGGGGAAGAGAGGACAGCAAAAAAAACAAAAACAAAAAAAAAAGCACGCATCTGGGCGAAATGGTTATCGGTGGCTATGGCAGGGCATGTGTCCAATCGAGGCACAGGGCCAGCCAGGTTGTTATCGGAAAGGATACTGTGTGGGGAAAGAAGAGGAGGGAAGGGCGGAAAAAACAGAGAAGGCGTTGCAGGCGTGAGGCGTGGAGATGGCAGGCAGGGAGAGTGTCTAGAGAAGAGAAGTCCATGATTTGCAGGGTGTATTTTGAGAATTCTCAAAAACACCCCGCACAATCACAGACCGCATTGCAGGCATGAGACGTGGCGATGACCGGAAGGGCATCTAGAGGGGCACAGGCCCCGTAAAGTTGTTGCCAGACAGGAGACTGGGGGAGCGGAATAGCGGAGGGGGGACAAAGAGCAGCAGGCGCCCGCCCAGGTGAAGTGGTTGTCAGAGAGGGTGATGGTGGCGAGGGGGGTTTTCAGAGGCCGCAGAGCGGGCTGCAGGGGGGTAGCTGCTACAAGTAAGGAGCAATGAGATGCTGCTTGCATGGATACAAGGAAGAGAAAAGCTGCAGAGCGGGCTGCAGGGCGGGCTGCAGGGCGGGCTGCACTGAGGGCTGCGGGGGGGAGGGTCTCACATGGAGTGGAGCCGGGTGAGGTTGGCTGAGGCCACCACGGGAGGGAGGTAGCTGCTGAGATGGTTCCTGGCGAGATTGCTGCAGTGGGCAGAAGGGAGGGGAAAGGAGGGGAGGGGAGAGAAAGGGAGTGGAAAAGAGATGGGAGGGATGGGAGGGAGGGGAAAGGGTCAGAAAAGTCCGATAAGGAGATTGCCAATTAGATGGTTCTTGACAAGATCGCAGCAGCGTATGGGAGAGAAAACGGGGGGAACTTCATCTTGCTGGGGGGGAAATGGCCTTGGGAGGGTAAACGAGGGCAGTGGGGGGGATTGAAGGGGAATGGAGGCGAGGAGAGGCACTTCGCAGGGAGAAACGGGAGTGACGAAGAGCAATGCGGCGTTCCGACATGGAGAGGCAGAGAGAATGAAGCATGAAGCATGATGCAGGATGCAGGATTGCAGGATGCAGGAGCAGATGCAGGAATTGCAGGATGCAGGGATGCAGGATGCAGGGATGCAGGATGCAGGATGCAGGATGCAGGATGCAGGATGGGGCAGGATGCAGGGATGCAGGATGCAGGAGGGATGCAGGGATGGCAGATGCAGGATGCAGGATGCAGGGATGCAGGGATGCAGGATGCAGGATGCAGGATGCAGGATGCAGGATGCAGGATGCAGGATGCAGGGATGCAGGATGCAGGATGCAGGATGCAGGATGCAGGATGCAGGATGCAGGATGCAGGATGCAGGAGAATGCAGGATGCAGGATGCAGGCATGAGGATGCAGGATGCAGGATGCAGGATGCAGGATGCAGGATGCAGGATCAGGATGCAGGATGCAGGATGCAGGATGCAGGGGATGCAGGATGCAGGATGCAGGTTGCAGGATGCAGGATGCAGGATGCAGGATGCAGGATGCAGGATGCAGGATGCAGGATGCAGGATGCAGGATGCAGGATGCAGGATGCAGGATGCAGGATGCAGGATGCAGGATCAGGATGCATGCAGGATGCAGGATGCAGGATGCAGGATGCAGGATGCAGGATGCAGGATGCAGGATGCAGGATGCAGGATGCAGGATGCAGGATGCAGGATGCAGGATGCAGGATGCAGGATGCAGGATGCAGGATGCAGATGCAGGATGCAGGATGCAGGATGCAGGATGCAGGATGCAGGATGCAGGATGCAGGATGCAGGATGCAGGATGCAGGATGCAGGATGCAGGATGCAGGATTGCAGGATGCAGGATGCAGGATGCAGGATGCAGGATGCAGGATGCAGGATGCAGGATGCAGGATGCAGGATGCAGGATGCAGGATGGGATGCAGGAATGCAGGATGCAGGATGCAGGATGCAGGATGCAGGATGCAGGATGCAGGATGCAGGATGCAGGATGCAGGATGCAGGGATGCAGGATGCAGGATGCAGGATGCAGGATGCAGGATGCAGGATGCAGGACGATGCAGGATGGCAGGATGCAGGGATGCAGGATGCAGGATGCAGGATGCAGGATGCAGGATGCAGGATGCAGGATGCAGGATGCAGGATGCACGGATCGGCAGGTGAGTGCATCGGATGCAGGATGCAGCGATGCAGGATGCAGGATGCAGGATTGCAGGATGCAGGGATGCAGGAGATGCAGGATGCAGGATGCAGGATGCAGGATGCAGGATGCAGGATGCAGGATGCAGGATGCAGGATGCAGGATGCAGGATGCAGGATGCAGGATGCACGATGCACGATGCACGATGCACGATGCACGATGCACGATGCACGATGCACGATGCACGATGCACGATGCACGATGCACGATGCACGATGCACGATGCACGATGCACGATGCACGATGCACGATGCACGATGCACGATGCACGATGCACGATGCACGATGCACGATGCACGATGCACGATGCACGATGCACGATGCACGATGCACGATGCACGATGCAGGATGCAGGATGCAGGATGCAGGATGCAGGATGCAGGATGCACGATGCACGATGCACGATGCAGGATGCACGATGCAGGATGCACGATGCAGGATGCAGGATGCAGGATGCAGGATGCAGGATGCAGGATGAAGGATGCAGGATGCAGGATGCACGATGCACGATGCAGGATGCACGATGCAGGATGCACGATGCAGAGCAGATGCGATGCAGGATGCAGGATGCAGGATGCAGGATGCAGGATGCAGGATGCAGGATGCAGGATGCAGGATGCAGGATGCAGGATGCAGGATGAAGGATGCAGGATGCAGGATGCACGATGCACGATGCAGGATGCACGATGCAGGATGCACGATGCAGGATGCAGGATGCAGGATGCAGGATGCATGATGCCCAGACAACACAACGCCACCTCTCACAGGGAGAACGCCTGCGAGCACAATGGACTGATCATACTGTTCTTTCTTACTCACAGGGTCACGAGCTCTGGGTGGCTGCTGAAGAGAGAAAGCGGCACTGAGCCGCGGAAGTTGTTGCGGCTCAAATCGCTGCAAGTTGCGGATGGGCCAGGGGAGAAGGCAAGGGAAGAAGGAGTAGATGGGGGGCGAGGGCGAGGGATGGGAGAACAAGGTTGGGGGAGAAGAGAGGTGGGGACGCATATGGCTGCTGAGGAGAGCAATGGGCACGGAGCCTTGAAAGTCTTTGCAACTCAAATCCCTGCGAGGGGTGGACGGGCAAGGGAGGAGAGGGGAGGGACAGGGAAGAGGGGCAGGAAAAGGGTTCAAATGTCATTCCAGAAAAGGGTAAGGGAGGAGCGTACAGAGCGCTGGGGCCTGGGAGGCTCCCAAGGGATGAGAAGCAACTGAGAAGCTGCGGAATGGAACAGATGATTTAAAGGCGAGAGGGGGGAGGGAGAAGGAAGCCAAACGCACAGGTAGCGGAGAAGAAGGAAGGGGCAGACGTACAGGTAGCAGAGGGCTGGGAGGCCCGCAAGGGAGGGGAGTGGCTGAGGCGGCATGGAGCAGTTGTTCATGGACCTGCGGGCATGGAGGGGGGAGGAGGAGGGGGGGGGATTGAAAGGTGGACAGGCGGAAGAGAGGGATGACACGGTTGTTGAGGGCGGGGTGGAAGCGGCTGAGGTGGCATGGAGCAGTTGTTCAGAGACCTGCGGGCATGGAGGGGGCAGGAGGAGGGGGGAGGAGGAGGGGGAGGAGGAAGGGGGAGGAGGAGGGGGAGGAGGAAGGGGAGGAGGAGGGGGGAAGGAGGAGGGGGAGGAGGAGGGGGAGGAGGAGGGGGAAGAGGAGAGGGGGAAGAGGAGGGGGGAGGAGGAGGGGGGAGGAGGAGGGGGGAGGAGGAGGACGGAGGAGGAGGGGGGAGGAGGGGGGGATCAAAAGGTGGACAGGGGGAAGAGAGGGGATGGTACGGTTGTTGACGGGGGGATGGCAGTGGCTAAGGTGGCATGGACGCATGCACAGAGCGGCTGGTCATGGAGCTGTGGGCGTTTGAGTCGACTCAAAAGCAGAGCGGCTGGTCATGGACCTTTCGGCATGCACAAGAGTGGGAGCCTGCACGCATGAAGCGAGATGCTATGATTAGAAGTAGGAAAACGGCCGAACGGCGAAAGGGGGTCAGCAATATGGTTGAGGGGCGAAAATGAGTCCCCTCAAGAGTCAGTACAATGCTATCGTGGAGGGGGGAGGATGGAAAGGCTTTGGATTGAGGCATTTCGGAAGTTGTGGGGGAGAGGGAAAGAAGGAAGCGTAGTTGTGCATTAGGGAAAGAAGTAGTGGACACAGGGAAGTGGATTTGCAGATGGGGAATACATTGCAGGGACTAACACATGCGTGAGGACAAACACATGCATGAGGACAAACACACGCGTGAGGACAAACACATGCGTGAGGACAAACACACGCGTGAGGACAAACACATGCGTGAGGACAAACACACGTGTGAGGACAAACACATGCGTGAGGACAAACCACACGCGTGAGGACAAACACACGCGTGAGGACAAACACACGCGTGAGGACAAACACACGCGTGAGGACAAACCACACGCGTGAGGACAAACACACGCGTGAGGACAAACAGCAAACACACGCGTGAGGACAAACACACGCGTGAGGACAAACACACGCGTGAGGACAAACACACGCGTGAGGACAAACACACGCGTGAGGACAAACACACGCGTGAGGACAAACACACGCGTGAGGACAAACACACCTGAGGACAAACACACGCGTGAGGACAAACACACGCGTGAGGACAAACACACGCGTGAGACAAACACACGCGTGAGGACAAACACACGCGTGAGGACACACACGCGTGGAATGAGAGAGCTCCAATATCAATCAACTGTATGGATGATCTTGTGCGAAAAGGTGCACAGGTCTTGCAATGTAGTGCGTGTGAAGGGGAATTATGCACGGGGGAAGCATGCATGAAGGGGGAAGAGCGCTCACAGGTCTTGCAATGTAGTGCGTGTGATGGGGGGAAGCACGCATGACGGGGGGAGAACGCTCACAGGTCTTGCAGTTGCGGGAGGTCGAGAGTCGGTGGTAGGCGGCCCTGAATGGTGTTGTTGCTCAGATGGCTGCCACGTGGCAAGCAGAGATTGGGGGACAGGAGGGGTACGAACGAAGGACATATTGGTATGAGTGCTACCCTCTTGAAATAATCTCAAAAAGAGCATCCTTATTCCCTCTCTCACATGCACAAAACTACCTCCATCAGCACCATCTCCATTACACTTTATCCACGATATAAATATCTCATCATAAATGTCTGTCAGGTCAGTCATAGGATAATCCCCACTACTCACATGATCTCGAGGCTCCTGGAGCCACTGAGCCCTGCTGGAAAGGTCTGGTTCAGCCGGTTGTTGTCCATGAGGCTGGTGAGGGGGGGGAGGGGGGGGAGGGGGGGGGGCGGGGGGGGGGGGGGGGTAAGGGCAGGGGGGCACCAGGGTGAGAGGGGGATATGAGGCGACTTTTGAGGTGCCTCTAAACGGAACTGGCCCAAAAGGGGGGCACCAGGGTGAGAGGGGGATATGAGGCGACTTTTGAGGCGCCTCTAAACGGAACTGGCCCAAAAGGGGGAACCAGGGTGAGAGGGGGATATGAGGCGCCCCACAGAACTGGCCCCGGCTGGAAAGATCTTGTTCAAGCGGCTGTTGTCCATGAGTCCAATGGAGTAGGGGAAGGGAGAAGGGAAGACGAAGGAGGAAGTTGAGGGAGAGGGTGAGGCAGGTGAAGGGAGATGAATGAGGACCCCTTGAATTGGAGGTGTTGAGGCGCCTCAACAGAACTGGCCCCGACCGGAAAGGTCTTGTTCTTGCTGACTGTGATGGGGAGAAGGGGGGGGGAAGGTTGGGGAGGTGCGAATTGATGGTGGGGAGGGGGAGGGAGGAGGGAGGAGAGGAGAATGGAGGGGTGGAGGGGAGAGGGTATACGTGATACGGTGCACCGAGCCTGTCTAAAGAGCACGAGAGGATGGGTGCTGTCCATAGGGATGGGTGCTGTCCATAGGGGATGGGTGGTGTCTGGCTGTCTGGCTGTCTGGCTGTCTGGCTGTCTGGCTGTCTGGCTGTCTGCCTGTCTGCCTGTCTGCCTGTCTGCCTGTCTGCCTGTCTGCTGTCTGCCTGTCTGCCTGTCTGCCTGTCTGCCTGTCTGCCTGTCTGCTGCCTGTCTGCCTGTCTGCCTGTCTGCCTGTCTGCCTGTCTGCCTGTCTGCCTGTCTGCCTGTCTGCCTGTCTGCCTGTCTGCCTGTCTGCCTGTCTGCCTGTCTGCCTGTCTGCCTGTCTGCCTGTCTGCCTGTCTGCCTGTCTGCCTGTCTGCCTGTCTGCCTGTCTGCCTGTCTGCCTGTCTGCCTGTCTGCCTGTCTGCCTGTCTGCCTGTCTGCCTGTCTGCCTGTCTGCCTGTCTGCCTGTCTGCCTGTCTGCCTGTCTGCCTGTCTGCCTGTCTGCCTGTCTGCCTGTCTGCCTGTCTGCCTGTCTGCCTGTCTGCCTGTCTGCCTGTCTGCCTGTCTGCCTGTCTGCCTGTCTGCCTGTCTGCCTGTCTGCCTGTCTGCCTGTCTGCCTGTCTGCCTGTCTGCCTGTCTGCCTGTCTGCCTGTCTGCCTGTCTGCCTGTCTGCCTGTCTGCCTGTCTGCCTGTCTGCCTGTCTGCCTGTCTGCCTGTCTGCCTGTCTGCCTGTCTGTCTGTCTGTCTGTTTGTTTGTTTGTCTGTTTCTCTGTTTGTCTGTTTGTCTGTTTGTCTGTTTGTTTGTCTGTTTGTCTGTTTGTCTGTTTGTGAGGCGCCAAAAGAAAATACGAAGACGAAGAAGAAACCGTACAGGTGGATGAGCTTGGGAAGTCGTCCCAGTTCTCCTGGGAGCCATGTGAGCTGGTTGCGACTCAGGTGACTGGCAAAGGGAGGGGGTTACGAGCCCGGGGGGAAGACAGGACACAACACGGGAGGAGCACAAGCGGGGAGTCAGAGGAAAGCTTTTGCAGTCGTCCCAATTCTGCTGGGAGCCATGATAGGCGGTTGCGACTCAGGTGACTGGCAGGGACAGAGGCACACGAGACAGGGCACACGAGAAGGCATTCAATGGGGCAAGCAAAGGCAAAAGGGAGTCAGGAGAATAGAAGGGAGTCAGAGGAAAGCTTTGGCAGTCGCGAAAGAGCGCCGAGTGGGTGAAAAGGGGGTGGCGAGGGGAATGCGGCACATGGCAGGTTTTGAGGCGCCTCTAAACGTGGTGAGGGCAGCGAGGGGAATGCGGCACATGGCAGGTTTTGAGGCGCCTCTAAACGTGGTGAGGGCAGCGAGGGGAATGCGGCACATGGCAGGTTTTGAGGCGCCTCTAAACGTGGTGAGGCAGCGAGAATGGCAGGCAGTTTAGGTTAACGTGGTGGGCGGGAATGCGCACATGGCAGGTTTTGAGGCGCCTCTAAACGTGGTGAGGGCAGTGAGGGGAATGCGGCACATGGCAGGTTTTGAGGCGCCTCTAAACGTGGTGAGGGCAGTGAGGGGAATGCGGCACATGGCAGGTTTTGAGGCGCCTCTAAACGTGGTGAGGGCAGCGAGGGGAATGCGGCACATGGCAGGTTTTGAGGCGCCTCTAAACGTGGTGAGGGCAGGAGGGGAATGCGGCACATGGCAGGTTTTGAGGCGCCTCTAAACGTGGTGAGGGCAGTGAGGGGAATGCGGCACATGGCAGGTTTTGAGGCGCCTCTAAACGTGGTGAGGGCAGCGAGGGGAATGCGGCACATGGCAGGTTTTGAGGCGCCTCTAAACGTGGTGAGGGCAGCGAGGGGAATGCGGCACATGGCAGGTTTTGAGGCGCCTCTAAACGTGGTGAGGGCAGGAGGGGAATGCGGCACATGGCAGGTTTTGAGGCGCCTCTAAACGTGGTGAGGGCAGCGAGGGGAATGCGGCACATGGCAGGTTTTGAGGCGCCTCTAAACGTGGTGAGGGCAGTGAGGGGAATGCGGCACATGGCAGGTTTTGAGGCGCCTCTAAACGTGGTGAGGGCAGCGAGGGGAATGCGGCACATGGCAGGTTTTGAGGCGCCTCTAAACGTGGTGAGGGCAGCGAGGGGAATGCGGCACATGGCAGGTTTTGAGGCGCCTCTAAACGTGGTGAGGGCAGTGAGGGGAATGCGGCACATGGCAGGTTTTGAGGCGCCTCTAAACGTGGTGAGGGCAGCGAGGGGAATGCGGCACATGGCAGGTTTTGAGGCGCCTCTAAACGTGGTGAGGGCAGCGAGGGGAATGCGGCACATGGCAGGTTTTGAGGCGCCTCTAAACGTGGTGAGGGCAGCGAGGGGAATGCGGCACATGGCAGGTTTTGAGGCGCCTCTAAACGTGGTGAGGGCAGCGAGGGGAATGCGGCACATGGCAGGTTTTGAGGCGCCTCTAAACGTGGTGAGGGCAGCGAGGGGAATGCGGCACATGGCAGGTTTTGAGGCGCCTCTAAACGTGGTGAGGGCAGCGAGGGGAATGCGGCACATGGCAGGTTTTGAGGCGCCTCTAAACGTGGTGAGGGCAGCGAGGAGAATGCGGCACATGGCAGGTTTTGAGGCGCCTCTAAACGTGGTGAGGGCAGCGAGGGGAATGCGGCACATGGCAGGTTTTGAGGCGCCTCTAAACGTGGTGAGGGCAGCGAGGGGAATGCGGCACATGGCAGGTTTTGAGGCGCCTCTAAACGTGGTGAGGGCAGCTGAGGGGAATGCGGCACATGGCAGGTTTTGAGGCGCCTCTAAACGTGGTGAGGGCAGCGAGGGGAATGCGGCACATGGCAGGTTTTGAGGCGCCTCTAAACGTGGTGAGGGCAGCGAGGGAATGCGGCACATGGCAGGTTTGAGGCGCCTCTAAACGTGGTGAGGGCAGCGAGGGGAATGCGGCACATGGCAGGTTTTGAGGCGCCTCTAAACGTGGTGAGGGCAGCGAGGGAATGCGGCACATGGCAGGTTTTGAGGCGCCTCTAAACGTGGTGAGGGCAGCGAGGGGAATGCGGCACATGGCAGGTTTTGAGGCGCCTCTAAACGTGGTGAGGGCAGCGAGGGGAATGCGGCACATGGCAGGTTTTGAGGCGCCTCTAAACGTGGTGAGGGCAGCGAGGGGAATGCGGCACATGGCAGGTTTTGAGGCGCCTCTAAACGTGGTGAGGGCAGCGAGGGGAATGCGGCACATGGCAGGTTTTGAGGCGCCTCTAAACGTGGTGAGGGCAGCGAGGGAATGCGGCACATGGCAGGTTTTGAGGCGCCTCTAAACGTGGTGAGGGCAGCGAGGGAATGCGGCACATGGCAGGTTTTGAGGCGCCTCTAAACGTGGTGAGGGCAGCGAGGGGAATGCGGCACATGGCAGGTTTTGAGGCGCCTCTAAACGTGGTGAGGGCAGCGAGGGGAATGCGGCACATGGCAGGTTTTGAGGCGCCTCTAAACGTGGGTGAGGGCAGCGAGGGGAATGCGGCACATGGCAGGTTTTGAGGCCCTCTAAACGTGGTGAGGGGCAGCGAGGGGAATGCGGCACATGGCAGGTTTGAGGCGCCTCTAAACGTGGTGAGGGCAGCGAGGGGAATGCGGCACATGGCAGGTTTTGAGGCGCCTCTAAACGTGGTGAGGGCAGCGAGGGGAATGCGGCACATGGCAGGTTTTGAGGCGCCTCTAAACGTGGTGAGGGCAGCGAGGGGAATGCGGCACATGGCAGGTTTTGAGGCGCCTCTAAACGTGGTGGTGAGGGCAGCGAGGGGAATGCGGCACATGGCAGGTTTTGAGGCGCCTCTAAACGTGGTGAGGGCAGGAGGGGAATGCGGCACATGGCAGGTTTTGAGGCGCCTCTAAACGTGGTGAGGGCAGCGAGGGGAATGCGGCACATGGCAGGTTTTGAGGCGCCTCTAAACGTGGTGAGGGCAGGAGGGGAATGCGGCACATGGCAGGTTTTGAGGCGCCTCTAAACGTGGTGAGGGCAGCGAGGGGAATGCGGCACATGGCAGGTTTTGAGGCGCCTCTAAACGTGTGAGGGCAGCGAGGGGAATGCGGCACATGGCAGTTTTGAGGCGCCTCTAAACGTGGTGAGGGCAGTGAGGGAATGCGGCACATGGCAGGTTTTGAGGCGCCTCTAAACGTGGTGAGGGCAGCGAGGGGAATGCGGCACATGGCAGGTTTTGAGGCGCCTCTAAACGTGGTGAGGGCAGCGAGGGGAATGCGGCACATGGCAGGTTTTGAGGCGCCTCTAAACGTGGTGAGGGCAGCGAGGGGAATGCGGCACATGGCAGGTTTTGAGGCGCCTCTAAACGTGGTGAGGGCAGCGAGGGGAATGCGGCACATGGCAGGTTTTGAGGCGCCTCTAAACGTGGTGAGGGCAGCGAGGGGAATGCGGCACATGGCAGGTTTTGAGGCGCCTCTAAACGTGGTGAGGGCAGCGAGGGGAATGCGGCACATGGCAGGTTTTGAGGCGCCTCTAAACGTGGTGAGGGCAGCGAGGGGAATGCGGCACATGGGCAGGTTTTGAGGCGGCCTCTAAACGTGGTGAGGGCAGCGAGGGGAATGCGGCACATGGCAGGTTTTGAGGCGCCTCTAAACGTGGTGAGGGCAGGCGAGGGGGAATGCGGCACATGGCAGGTTTTGAGGCGCCTCTAAACGTGGTGAGGGCAGCGAGGGGAATGCGGCACATGGCAGGTTTTGAGGCGCCTCTAAACGTGGTGAGGGCAGCGAGGGGAATGCGGCACATGGCAGGTTTGAGGGCCTCTAACGTGGTGAGGGCAGCGGAGGGAATGCGGCACATGGCAGGTTTTGAGGCGCCTCTAAACGTGGTGAGGGCAGCGGAGGGGAATGCGGCACATGGCAGGTTTTGAGGCGCCTCTAAACGTGGTGAGGGCAGCGAGGGGAATGCGGCACATGGCAGGTTTTGAGGCGCCTCTAAACGTGGTGAGGGCAGCGAGGGGAATGCGGCACATGGCAGGTTTTTGAGGCGCCTCTAAACGTGGTGAGGGCAGCGAGGGGAATGCGGCACATGGCAGGTTTTGAGGCGCCTCTAAACGTGGTGAGGCAGCGAGGGGAATGCGGCACATGGCAGGTTTTGAGGCGCCTCTAAACGTGGTGAGGGCAGCGGAGGGGAATGCGGCACATGGCAGGTTTTGAGGCGCCTCTAAACGTGGTGAGGGCAGCGAGGGGAATGCGGCACATGGCAGGTTTTGAGGCGCCTCTAAACGTGGTGAGGGCAGCGAGGGGAATGCGGCACATGGCAGGTTTTGAGGCGCCTCTAAACGTGGTGAGGGCAGCGAGGGGAATGCGGCACATGGCAGGTTTTGAGGCGCCTCTAAACGTGGTGAGGGCAGCGAGGGGAATGCGGCACATGGCAGGTTTTGAGGCGCCTCTAAACGTGGTGAGGGCAGCGAGGGAATGCGGCACATGGCAGGTTTGAGGCGCTCTAAAGGGGGGGGGGGGGGGGGGCGTGGGTGAGGGCAGCGAGGGGAATGCGGCACATGGCAGGTTTTGAGGCGCCTCTAAACGTGGTGAGGGCAGCGAGGGGAATGCGGCACATGGCAGGTTTTGAGGCGCCTCTAAACGTGGTGAGGGCAGGGAGGGGAATGCGGCACATGGCAGGTTTTGAGGCGCCTCTAAACGTGGTGAGGGCAGCGAGGGGAATGCGGCACATGGCAGGTTTTGAGGCGCCTCTAAACGTGGTGAGGGCAGCGAGGGGAATGCGGCACATGGCAGGTTTTGAGGCGCCTCTAAACGTGGTGAGGGCAGCGAGGGGAATGCGGCACATGGCAGGTTTTGAGGCGCCTCTAAACGTGGTGAGGGCAGCGAGGGGAATGCGGCACATGGCAGGTTTTGAGGCGCCTCTAAACGTGGTGAGGGCAGCGAGGGGAATGCGGCACATGGCAGGTTTTGAGGCGCCTCTAAACGTGGTGAGGGCAGCGAGGGGAATGCGGCACATGGCAGGTTTTGAGGCGCCTCTAAACGTGGTGAGGGCAGCGAGGGGAATGCGGCACATGGCAGGTTTTGAGGCGCCTCTAAACGTGGTGAGGGCAGCGAGGGGAATGCGGCACATGGCAGGTTTTGAGGCGCCTCTAAACGTGGTGAGGGCAGCGAGGGGAATGCGGCACATGGCAGGTTTTGAGGCGCCTCTAAACGTGGTGAGGGCAGCGAGGGGAATGCGGCACATGGCAGGTTTTGAGGCGCCTCTAAACGTGGTGAGGGCAGCGAGGGAATGCGGCACATGGCAGGTTTGAGGCGCCTCTAAACGTGGTGAGGGCAGCGAGGGGAATGCGGCACATGGCAGGTTTTGAGGCGCCTCTAAACGTGGTGAGGGCAGCGAGGGGAATGCGGCACATGGCAGGTTTTGAGGCGCCTCTAAACGTGGTGAGGGCAGCGAGGGGAATGCGGCACATGGCAGGTTTTGAGGCGCCTCTAAACGTGGTGAGGGCAGCGAGGGGAATGCGGCACATGGCAGGTTTTGAGGCGCCTCTAAACGTGGTGAGGGCAGCGAGGGGAATGCGGCACATGGCAGGTTTTGAGGCGCCTCTAAACGTGGTGAGGGCAGCGAGGGGAATGCGGCACATGGCAGGTTTTGAGGCGCCTCTAAACGTGGTGAGGGCAGCGAGGGGAATGCGGCACATGGCAGGTTTTGAGGCGCCTCTAAACGTGGTGAGGGCAGCGAGGGGAATGCGGCACATGGCAGGTTTTGAGGCGCCTCTAAACGTGGTGAGGGCAGCGAGGGGAATGCGGCACATGGCAGGTTTTGAGGCGCCTCTAAACGTGGTGAGGGCAGCGAGGGGAATGCGGCACATGGCAGGTTTTGAGGCGCCTCTAAACGTGGTGAGGGCAGCGAGGGGAATGCGGCACATGGCAGGTTTTGAGGCGCCTCTAAACGTGGTGAGGGCAGCGAGGGGAATGCGGCACATGGCAGGTTTTGAGGCGCCTCTAAACGTGGTGAGGGCAGCGAGGGGAATGCGGCACATGGCAGGTTTTGAGGCGCCTCTAAACGTGGTGAGGGCAGCGAGGGGAATGCGGCACATGGCAGGTTTTGAGGCGCCTCTAAACGTGGTGAGGGCAGCGAGGGGAATGCGGCACATGGCAGGTTTTGAAGGCGCCTCTAAACGTGGTGAGGGCAGCGAGGGGAATGCGGCACATGGCAGGTTTTGAGGCGCCTCTAAACGTGGTGAGGGCAGCGAGGGGAATGCGGCACATGGCAGGTTTTGAGGCGCCTCTAAACGTGGTGAGGGCAGCGAGGGGAATGCGGCACATGGCAGGTTTTGAGGCGCCTCTAAACGTGGTGAGGGCAGCGAGGGGAATGCGGCACATGGCAGGTTTTGAGGCGCCTCTAAACGTGGTGAGGGCAGCGAGGGGAATGCGGCACATGGCAGGTTTTGAGGCGCCTCTAAACGTGGTGAGGGCAGCGAGGGGAATGCGGCACATGGCAGGTTTTGAGGCGCCTCTAAACGTGGTGAGGGCAGCGAGGGGAATGCGGCACATGGCAGGTTTTGAGGCGCCTCTAAACGTGGTGAGGGCAGCGAGGGGAATGCGGCACATGGCAGGTTTTGAGGCGCCTCTAAACGTGGTGAGGGCCAGCGAGGGGAATGCGGCACATGGCAGGTTTTGAGGCGCCTCTAAACGTGGTGAGGGCAGCGAGGGGAATGCGGCACATGGCAGGTTTTGAGGCGCCTCTAAACGTGGTGAGGGCAGCGGAGGGGAATGCGGCACATGGCAGGTTTTGAGGCGCCTCTAAACGTGGTGAGGGCAGCGAGGGGAATGCGGCACATGGCAGGTTTTGAGGCGCCTCTAAACGTGGTGAGGGCAGCGAGGGGAATGCGGCACATGGCAGGTTTTGAGGCGCCTCTAAACGTGGTGAGGGCAGCGAGGGGAATGCGGCACATGGCAGGTTTTGAGGCGCCTCTAAACGTGGTGAGGGCAGCGAGGGGAATGCGGCACATGGCAGGTTTTTGAGGCGCCTCTAAACGTGGTGAGGGCAGCGGAGGGGAATGCGGCACATGGCAGGTTTTGAGGCGCCTCTAAACGTGGTGAGGGCAGCGAGGGGAATGCGGCACATGGCAGGTTTTGAGGCGCCTCTAAACGTGGTGAGGGCAGCGAGGGGAATGCGGCACATGGCAGGTTTTGAGGCGCCTCTAAACGTGGTGAGGGCAGCGAGGGGAATGCGGCACATGGCAGGTTTTGAGGCGCCTCTAAACGTGGTGAGGGCAGCGAGGGGAATGCGGCACATGGCAGGTTTTGAGGCGCCTCTAAACGTGGTGAGGGCAGCGAGGGGAATGCGGCACATGGCAGGTTTTTGAGGCGCCTCTAAACGTGGTGAGGGCAGCGAGGGGAATGCGGCACATGGCAGGTTTTGAGGCGCCTCTAAACGTGGTGAGGGCAGCGAGGGGAATGCGGCACATGGCAGGTTTTGAGGCGCCTCTAAACGTGGTGAGGGCAGCGAGGGGAATGCGGCACATGGCAGGTTTTGAGGCGCCTCTAACGTGGTGAGGGCAGGGAGGGGAATGCGGCACATGGCAGGTTTTGAGGCGCCTCTAAACGTGGTGAGGGCAGCGAGGGGAATGCGGCACATGGCAGGTTTTGAGGCGCCTCTAAACGTGGTGAGGGCAGCGAGGGGAATGCGGCACATGGCAGGTTTTGAGGCGCCTCTAAACGTGGTGAGGGCAGCGAGGGGAATGCGGCACATGGGCAGGTTTGAGGCGCCTCTAAACGTGGTGAGGGCAGCGAGGGGAATGCGGCACATGGCAGGTTTTGAGGCGCCTCTAAACGTGGTGAGGGCAGCGAGGGGAATGCGGCACATGGCAGGTTTTGAGGCGCCTCTAAACGTGGTGAGGGCAGCGAGGGGAATGCGGCACATGGCAGGTTTTGAGGCGCCTCTAAACGTGGTGAGGGCAGCGAGGGGAATGCGGCACATGGCAGGTTTTGAGGCGCCTCTAAACGTGGTGAGGGCAGCGAGGGGAATGCGGCACATGGCAGGTTTTTGAGGCGCCTCTAAACGTGGTGAGGGCAGCGAGGGGAATGCGGCACATGGCAGGTTTTGAGGCGCCTCTAAACGTGGTGAGGGCAGCGAGGGGAATGCGGCACATGGCAGGTTTTGAGGCGCCTCTAAACGTGGTGAGGGCAGCGAGGGGAATGCGGCACATGGCAGGTTTTGAGGCGCCTCTAAACGTGGTGAGGGCAGCGAGGGGAATGCGGCACATGGCAGGTTTTTGAGGCGCCTCTAAACGTGGTGAGGGCAGCGAGGGGAAATGCGGCACATGGCAGGTTTTGAGGCGCCTCTAAACGTGGTGAGGCAGCGAGGGGAATGCGGCACATGGCAGGTTTTGAGGCGCCTCTAAACGTGGGTGAGGGCAGCGAGGGGAATGCGGCACATGGCAGGTTTTGAGGCGCCTCTAAACGTGGTGAGGGCAGCGAGGGGAATGCGGCACATGGCAGGTTTTGAGGCGCCTCTAAACGTGGTGAGGGCAGCGAGGGGAATGCGGCACATGGCAGGTTTTGAGGCGCCTCTAAACGTGGTGAGGGCAGCGAGGGGAATGCGGCACATGGCAGGTTTTTGAGGCGCCTCTAAACGTGGTGAGGGCAGCGAGGGGAATGCGGCACATGGCAGGTTTTGAGGCGCCTCTAAACGTGGTGAGGGCAGCGAGGGGAATGCGGCACATGGCAGGTTTTGAGGCGCCTCTAAACGTGGTGAGGGCAGCGAGGGGAATGCGGCACATGGCAGGTTTTGAGGCGCCTCTAAACGTGGTGAGGGCAGCGAGGGGAATGCGGCACATGGCAGGTTTTGAGGCGCCTCTAAACGTGGTGAGGGCAGCGAGGGGAATGCGGCACATGGCAGGTTTTGAGGCGCCTCTAAACGTGGTGAGGGCAGCGAGGGGAATGCGGCACATGGCAGGTTTTGAGGCGCCTCTAAACGTGGTGAGGGCAGGGAGGGGAATGCGGCACATGGCAGGTTTTGAGGCGCCTCTAAACGTGGTGAGGGCAGCGAGGGGAATGCGGCACATGGCAGGTTTTGAGGCGCCTCTAAACGTGGTGAGGGCAGCGGAGGGGAATGCGGCACATGGCAGGTTTTGAGGCGCCTCTAAACGTGGTGAGGGCAGCGAGGGGAATGCGGCACATGGCAGGTTTTTGAGGCGCCTCTAAACGTGGTGAGGGCAGCGAGGGGAATGCGGCACATGGCAGGTTTTGAGGCGCCTCTAAACGTGGTGAGGGCAGCGAGGGGAATGCGGCACATGGCAGGTTTTGAGGCGCCTCTAAACGTGGTGAGGGCAGCGAGGGGAATGCGGCACATGGCAGGTTTTGAGGCGCCTCTAAACGTGGTGAGGGCAGCGAGGGGAATGCGGCACATGGCAGGTTTTGAGGCGCCTCTAAACGTGGTGAGGGCAGCGAGGGGAATGCGGCACATGGCAGGTTTTGAGGCGCCTCTAAACGTGGTGAGGGCAGCGAGGGGAATGCGGCACATGGCAGGTTTTGAGGCGCCTCTAAACGTGGTGAGGGCAGCGAGGGGAATGCGGCACATGGCAGGTTTTGAGGCGCCTCTAAAACGTGGTGAGGGCAGCGAGGGGAATGCGGCACATGGCAGGTTTTGAGGCGCCTCTAAACGTGGTGAGGGCAGCGAGGGGAATGCGGCACATGGCAGGTTTTGAGGCGCCTCTAAACGTGGTGAGGGCAGCGAGGGGAATGCGGCACATGGCAGGTTTTGAGGCGCCTCTAAACGTGGTGAGGGCAGCGAGGGGAATGCGGCACATGGCAGGTTTTGAGGCGCCTCTAAACGTGGTGAGGGCAGCGAGGGGAATGCGGCACATGGCAGGTTTTGAGGCGCCTCTAAACGTGGTGAGGGCAGCGAGGGGAATGCGGCACATGGCAGGTTTTTGAAGGCGCCTCTAAACGTGGTGAGGGCAGCGAGGGGAATGCGGCACATGGCAGGTTTTGAGGCGCCTCTAAACGTGGTGAGGGCAGCGAGGGGAATGCGGCACATGGCAGGTTTTGAGGCGCCTCTAAACGTGGTGAGGGCAGCGAGGGAATGCGGCACATGGCAGGTTTTGAGGCGCCTCTAAACGTGGTGAGGGCAGCGAGGGGAATGCGGCACATGGCAGGTTTTGAGGCGCCTCTAAACGTGGTGAGGGCAGCGAGGGGAATGCGGCACATGGCAGGTTTTGAGGCGCCTCTAAACGTGGTGAGGGCAGCGAGGGGAATGCGGCACATGGCAGGTTTTTGAGGCGCCTCTAAACGTGGTGAGGGCAGCGAGGGGAATGCGGCACATGGCAGGTTTTGAGGCGCCTCTAAACGTGGTGAGGGCAGCGAGGGGAATGCGGCACATGGCAGGTTTTGAGGCGCCTCTAAACGTGGTGAGGGCAGCGAGGGGAATGCGGCACATGGCAGGTTTTGAGGCGCCTCTAAACGTGGTGAGGGCAGCGAGGGGAATGCGGCACATGGCAGGTTTTGAGGCGCCTCTAAACGTGGTGAGGGCAGGGAGGGGAATGCGGCACATGGCAGGTTTTGAGGCGCCTCTAAACGTGGTGAGGGCAGCGAGGGGAATGCGGCACATGGCAGGTTTTGAGGCGCCTCTAAACGTGGTGAGGGCAGCGAGGGGAATGCGGCACATGGCAGGTTTTGAGGCGCCTCTAAACGTGGTGAGGGCAGCGAGGGGAATGCGGCACATGGCAGGTTTTGAGGCGCCTCTAAACGTGGTGAGGGCAGCGAGGGGAATGCGGCACATGGCAGGTTTTGAGGCGCCTCTAAACGTGGTGAGGGCAGCGAGGGGAATGCGGCACATGGCAGGTTTTGAGGCGCCTCTAAACGTGGTGAGGGCAGCGAGGGGAATGCGGCACATGGCAGGTTTTGAGGCGCCTCTAAACGTGGTGAGGGCAGCGAGGGGAATGCGGCACATGGCAGGTTTTGAGGCGCCTCTAAACGTGGTGAGGGCAGCGAGGGGAATGCGGCACATGGCAGGTTTTGAGGCGCCTCTAAACGTGGTGAGGGCAGCGAGGGGAATGCGGCACATGGCAGGTTTTGAGGCGCCTCTAAACGTGGTGAGGGCAGCGAGGGGAATGCGGCACATGGCAGGTTTTGAGGCGCCTCTAAACGTGGTGAGGGCAGCGAGGGGAATGCGGCACATGGCAGGTTTTGAGGCGCCTCTAAACGTGGTGAGGGCAGCGAGGGGAATGCGGCACATGGCAGGTTTTGAGGCGCCTCTAAACGTGGTGAGGGCAGCGAGGGGAATGCGGCACATGGCAGGTTTTTGAGGCGCCTCTAAACGTGGTGAGGGCAGGAGGGGAATGCGGCACATGGCAGGTTTTGAGGCGCCTCTAAACGTGGTGAGGGCAGCGAGGGGAATGCGGCACATGGCAGGTTTTGAGGCGCCTCTAAACGTGGTGAGGGCAGCGAGGGGAATGCGGCACATGGCAGGTTTTTGAGGCGCCTCTAAACGTGGTGAGGGCAGCGAGGGGAATGCGGCACATGGCAGGTTTTGAGGCGCCTCTAAACGTGGTGAGGGCAGCGAGGGGAATGCGGCACATGGCAGGTTTTGAGGCGCCTCTAAACGTGGTGAGGGCAGCGAGGGGAATGCGGCACATGGCAGGTTTTGAGGCGCCTCTAAACGTGGTGAGGGCAGCGAGGGGAATGCGGCACATGGCAGGTTTTGAGGCGCCTCTAAACGTGGTGAGGGCAGCGAGGGGAATGCGGCACATGGCAGGTTTTGAGGCGCCTCTAAACGTGGTGAGGGCAGCGAGGGGAATGCGGCACATGGCAGGTTTTGAGGCGCCTCTAAACGTGGTGAGGGCAGCGAGGGGAATGCGGCACATGGCAGGTTTTGAGGCGCCTCTAAACGTGGTGAGGGCAGCGAGGGGAATGCGGCACATGGCAGGTTTTGAGGCGCTCTAAACGTGGTGAGGGCAGCGAGGGGAATGCGGCACATGGCAGGTTTTGAGGCGCCTCTAAACGTGGTGAGGGCAGCGAGGGGAATGCGGCACATGGCAGGTTTTGAGGCGCCTCTAAACGTGGTGAGGGCAGCGAGGGGAATGCGGCACATGGCAGGTTTTGAGGCGCCTCTAAACGTGGTGAGGGCAGGGAGGGAATGCGGCACATGGCAGGTTTTGAGGCGCCTCTAAACGTGGTGAGGGCAGCGAGGGGAATGCGGCACATGGCAGGTTTTGAGGCGCCTCTAAACGTGGTGAGGGCAGCGAGGGGAATGCGGCACATGGCAGGTTTTGAGGCGCCTCTAAACGTGGTGAGGGCAGCGAGGGGAATGCGGCACATGGCAGGTTTTGAGGCGCCTCTAAACGTGGTGAGGGCAGCGAGGGGAATGCGGCACATGGCAGGTTTTGAGGCGCCTCTAAACGTGGTGAGGGCAGCGAGGGGAATGCGGCACATGGCAGGTTTTGAGGCGCCTCTAAACGTGGTGAGAGGAAGGCACATGAGGTTGAGGCGCCCTAGTGGTAGGGCGAGGGGAATGCGGCACATGGCAGGTTTTGAGGCGCCTCTAAACGTGGTGAGGGCAGCGAGGGGAAATGCGGCACATGGCAGGTTTTGAGGCGCCTCTAAACGTGGTGAGGGCAGCGAGGGGAATGCGGCACATGGCAGGTTTTGAGGCGCCTCTAAACGTGGTGAGGGCAGCGAGGGGAATGCGGCACATGGCAGGTTTTGAGGCGCCTCTAAACGTGGTGAGGGCAGCGAGGGGAATGCGGCACATGGCAGGTTTTGAGGCGCCTCTAAACGTGGTGAGGGCAGCGAGGGGAATGCGGCACATGGCAGGTTTTGAGGCGCCTCTAAACGTGGTGAGGGCAGCGAGGGGAATGCGGCACATGGCAGGTTTTGAGGCGCCTCTAAACGTGGTGAGGGCAGCGAGGGGAATGCGGCACATGGCAGGTTTTGAGGCGCCTCTAAACGTGGTGAGGGCAGCGAGGGGAATGCGGCACATGGCAGGTTTTGAGGCGCCTCTAAACGTGGTGAGGGCAGCGAGGGGAATGCGGCACATGGCAGGTTTTGAGGCGCCTCTAAACGTGGTGAGGGCAGCGAGGGGAATGCGGCACATGGCAGGTTTTGAGGCGCCTCTAAACGTGGTGAGGGCAGCGAGGGGAATGCGGCACATGGCAGGTTTTGAGGCGCCTCTAAACGTGGTGAGGGCAGCGAGGGGAATGCGGCACATGGCAGGTTTTGAGGCGCCTCTAAACGTGGTGAGGGCAGCGAGGGGAATGCGGCACATGGCAGGTTTTGAGGCGCCTCTAAACGTGGTGAGGGCAGCGAGGGGAATGCGGCACATGGCAGGTTTTGAGGCGCCTCTAAACGTGGTGAGGGCAGCGAGGGGAATGCGGCACATGGCAGGTTTTGAGGCGCCTCTAAACGTGGTGAGGGCAGCGAGGGGAATGCGGCACATGGCAGGTTTTGAGGCGCCTCTAAACGTGGTGAGGGCAGCGAGGGGAATGCGGCACATGGCAGGTTTTGAGGCGCCTCTAAACGTGGTGAGGGCAGCGAGGGGGAAGCGGCACATGGCAGGTTTTGAGGCGCCTCTAAACGTGGTGAGGGCAGCGAGGGGAATGCGGCACATGGCAGGTTTTGAGGCGCCTCTAAACGTGGTGAGGGCAGCGAGGGGAATGCGGCACATGGCAGGTTTTGAGGCGCCTCTAAACGTGGTGAGGGCAGCGAGGGGAATGCGGCACATGGCAGGTTTTGAGGCGCCTCTAAACGTGGTGAGGGCAGCGAGGGGAATGCGGCACATGGCAGGTTTTGAGGCGCCTCTAAACGTGGTGAGGGCAGCGAGGGGAATGCGGCACATGGCAGGTTTTGAGGCGCCTCTAAACGTGGTGAGGGCAGCGAGGGGAATGCGGCACATGGCAGGTTTTGAGGCGCCTCTAAACGTGGTGAGGGCAGCGAGGGGAATGCGGCACATGGCAGGTTTTGAGGCGCCTCTAAACGTGGTGAGGGCAGCGAGGGGAATGCGGCACATGGCAGGTTTTGAGGCGCCTCTAAACGTGGTGAGGGCAGCGAGGGGAATGCGGCACATGGCAGGTTTTGAGGCGCCTCTAAACGTGGTGAGGGCAGCGAGGGGAATGCGGCACATGGCAGGTTTTGAGGCGCCTCTAAACGTGGTGAGGGCAGCGAGGGGAATGCGGCACATGGCAGGTTTTGAGGCGCCTCTAAACGTGGTGAGGGCAGCGAGGGGAATGCGGCACATGGCAGGTTTTGAGGCGCCTCTAAACGTGGTGAGGGCAGCGAGGGGAATGCGGCACATGGCAGGTTTTGAGGCGCCTCTAAACGTGGTGAGGGCAGCGAGGGGAATGCGGCACATGGCAGGTTTTGAGGCGCCTCTAAACGTGGTGAGGGCAGCGAGGGGAATGCGGCACATGGCAGGTTTTGAGGCGCCTCTAAACGTGGTGAGGGCAGCGAGGGGAATGCGGCACATGGCAGGTTTTGAGGCGCCTCTAAACGTGGTGAGGGCAGCGAGGGGAATGCGGCACATGGCAGGTTTTGAGGCGCCTCTAAACGTGGTGAGGGCAGCGAGGGGAATGCGGCACATGGCAGGTTTTGAGGCGCCTCTAAACGTGGTGAGGGCAGCGAGGGGAATGCGGCACATGGCAGGTTTTGAGGCGCCTCTAAACGTGGTGAGGGCAGCGAGGGGAATGCGGCACATGGCAGGTTTTGAGGCGCCTCTAAACGTGGTGAGGGCAGCGAGGGGAATGCGGCACATGGCAGGTTTTGAGGCGCCTCTAAACGTGGTGAGGGCAGCGAGGGGAATGCGGCACATGGCAGGTTTTGAGGCGCCTCTAAACGTGGTGAGGGCAGCGAGGGGAATGCGGCACATGGCAGGTTTTGAGGCGCCTCTAAACGTGGTGAGGGCAGCGAGGGGAATGCGGCACATGGCAGGTTTTGAGGCGCCTCTAAACGTGGTGAGGGCAGCGAGGGGAATGCGGCACATGGCAGGTTTTGAGGCGCCTCTAAACGTGGTGAGGGCAGCGAGGGGAATGCGGCACATGGCAGGTTTTGAGGCGCCTCTAAACGTGGTGAGGGCAGCGAGGGGAATGCGGCACATGGCAGGTTTTGAGGCGCCTCTAAACGTGGTGAGGGCAGCGAGGGGAATGCGGCACATGGCAGGTTTTGAGGCGCCTCTAAACGTGGTGAGGGCAGCGAGGGGAATGCGGCACATGGCAGGTTTTGAGGCGCCTCTAAACGTGGTGAGGGCAGCGAGGGGAATGCGGCACATGGCAGGTTTTGAGGCGCCTCTAAACGTGGTGAGGGCAGCGAGGGGAATGCGGCACATGGCAGGTTTTGAGGCGCCTCTAAACGTGGTGAGGGCAGCGAGGGGAATGCGGCACATGGCAGGTTTTGAGGCGCCTCTAAACGTGGTGAGGGCAGCGAGGGGAATGCGGCACATGGCAGGTTTTGAGGCGCCTCTAAACGTGGTGAGGGCAGCGAGGGGAATGCGGCACATGGCAGGTTTTGAGGCGCCTCTAAACGTGGTGAGGGCAGCGAGGGGAATGCGGCACATGGCAGGTTTTGAGGCGCCTCTAAACGTGGTGAGGGCAGCGAGGGGAATGCGGCACATGGCAGGTTTTGAGGCGCCTCTAAACGT